TATCAAAATACCACCAGTATTTTTCTCAGAGCTGGAACAAACAATCTTAAAATTTGTATGGAACCAGAAAAGACCCTGAATAGCCAAAGTAATGTTGAAAAAGAAAACCAAAGCTGGAGGCATCACAATTCCAGGCTAAAAGCTGTATTACAAAGCTGTCATCATCAAGACAGTATGGTACTGGCACAAAAACAGACACATAGATCAATGGAACAGAATAAAGAACCCCTAAATGGACCCTCAGCTCTATGGTCAACTAATCTTGGACAAGGCAGAAAAGACTATCCAATGGAAAAAAGATGGTCTCTCCAACAAATGGGTGTTGGGAAAATTGGACAGCCACAAGTAGAAGAATGAAACTGGACCACTTTATTATACCATATACAAAAATAAACTCAAAATGGATGAAAGACCTAAATATGAGCCTGGAATCCATCAAAATCCTAGAGGAAAACACAGGCAGCAAGCTCTTTGACCTCGGCTGCAGCAACTTCTTACTAGACATGTCTCCAAAAGCAAGGGAAACAAGAGGAAAAATAAACTATTAGGACTTCATCAATATAAAAAGCTTCTGCACAGCAAAGGAAACAACAAAACTAAAAGGCAACCTAAGGAATGGGAGAAGATATTTGCAAATGTCTTATCAGATAAAGGGCTAATATCCATGATCTATAAAGAATGTATCAAACTCAACACCCAAAAAACAGATGTCAAGAAATGGAGAGAATTCAGGAACAGACATTTCTCCAAAGAAGACATACAAATGGCTACAGACACACAAAAAAATGCTCAATATCACCAGCATCAGAGAAATACAAGTCAAAAGCACAAGGGGATACCACCTCACACTGGCCAGAATGGCTAAAATTAACAACTCAGGAAACAACAAGTGTTGGTGAGAATATGGAGAAAGGGGAACCCTCTAACACTGTTGGTGGGAATGCAAACTGGTGCAGACACTCTGGAAAACAGTATGGAACTTCGTTAGGAAGTTAAAAATAGAACTACTGTATAACCCAGAAATTACATTTCTATGTATTTATCCAAAGGATACAAAAATAGTGACTTGAAGGGACACATGCATCCCAATGTTTATAGCAGCTATGTCCACAAAAGCCAAACTATGGAAAAAGCCCAGATGACCATCAACAGATGAATGGATAAAGAAGTGGTGTATATATACAATGGAATACTACTCAGCCATCTAAAGAGTGCTATGGTGATTGCTGTGAATTGTGTAAGACTGATGATTCACCTGTAACCCTGAAACAAATAATACATTATATGTTAATAAATTTTTAAAAAGAATGAAATCTTGCCATTTGCAATGGCATGGATGGAACTAAAGGGTATTATGCTAAGAGAAATTAGTCAGAGAAAGATAATTATATGATTTCACCTGGGTGGCTTGGTGGGTTAACCTCTGCCTTCGGCTCAGGTCATGATTCCAGGGTCCTGGGATTAAGGCCTACATCGGGCTCTCTGCTCAGCAGGGAGGCTGCTTCCCCCTCTCTCTGCCTGCCTCTCTGCCTACTTGTGATTTCTCTCTCTGTCAAATAAATAAATAAAATCCTTATTTTATTTATTTATTTAATTTATTTATTATTTAATTTATTTATTTGTTTGTTTAATTTTAAAAACAGAGAGGGAGGCAAACTCTTAACTCTTAACTATAGGAAACTATAGATGGTAGAGGGTAGATGGAGGGGGGGGTGGATGGAGGGATGGGATAATTGGGTGATGGGTATTAAGGAGGGCACTTGATGTAAGGAGTATTGGGCATTAGATGCAACTGATAAATCACAAAATTCCACCCTGAAACTAATAATACACTATGTATTAACTAAATTGAGTTTAAATAAAATATTTTAAAGATTTATATCATATATTTTTATATATATTATGTATATATAAACTTTCAGAAATAGCAAATAAATTCTTACCCAAATCAAAGGTAAGCAATGTATTCTCAAAGTCAAATCAGAGTTTTACATTGAGCTTGACAAACCAATCTTAAAATTCAAATAGAAAAATAAATATGCATAAAAAAGGACAACATTTTTCTTTTTTGAAAAAGAAGAGTAAAGGAAGAATTACCTTTCAAGGTATAAAAATATTTTATAATGTGATAACTATCAAAATAGTTTGGAATTTTCCTGGGAAATGATCAATACTCTATTTCAGAATAGAGAGTCCAGAAACAATAGTGCATATATGGGAATCCAGGGATTGACAGAGGAAGTACTCGGAGTCATTGGAGAAAAGGTGGTACATTCAATAAAAAGCATGGGTGAAATGGGCTAGTCATTTGAAAAAATAAATTTAGATCCATACCTCATACCACTCATGAAAATAAATTACAGGTGAAATAAAAGGAGTATTAGAAAAAAAATTGTGAGACTTTGGAAGACCTTTTTAAAATCACATATACAGAACAAAAGCTCTAAATAAAATATCAGTACATTTGGATCATAACTTATAAATTCTGCATTTTATTTTTTTATTTTTATTTTTTTATTTTTTATTATTTTTAATTTTTTTTTAAATTCTGCATTTTAAAAGGCACATTATAAAAGGTAAGGCACAAGACAAAAATATTTGTAGTATTTGTAGGTTGAACCATATAAAACTGTGATTTCATATGGTTCAACCTGATAATAAAGCCAGCTCTAGATTTTCCCCTTGCACACTTCTGTGCTTGTTCTCCCTCCCAGCTGACTGTGTTGAGCTCAAAAAAGGCAACCTCAAAAGGCATTGCTGAAGACAGCAGAATCTCCTCCCCATTGCATCTCTGAACAACTGCATGGAACAGAGTAGTTAATGACCAGTCAATAAACTTCCAATCCCTATGCCACTCTATTTTTGGAGTTTAGTTATTATCACAGCTTAACTAGCCCTAATTATGACAAATATAAATTAAAAATAAAAATAAAAAAACTCCCCAATCAAAAGGAAAAAGACCAACAACATGATAGAAAAATAGTCACGGGATATGAACAAGGAATTAACAGAAGAGGAAGGTCTTTTAGAGTTATGAGAGGATAGTCAACCCAATTAGTAATAAGGCAAATCAAACAAAGAGGAGGAAATTTCCAAAGAAAAATTTGAGAACATTTCCCAGAACTGAAGGACAAAGATTTTTTATAGAAAGTGCTCACCAATGTCTAGCACACAAGAAAGACAAAAACTAGCAAATGAACTAGGGTCCTGGTACAAAACAGATGACACGCCCAAATGGGATAACTGGGGAGAGGGACTTTTATAAAAGTATTGTCAGGGTAAAGGAAGCCAACAAGGCATGGTAAAGCATCTCAGGGTAGCAACACAGAAAGTGATCACCACGCCTATGTGTGAAGGGGAAGGGTGGGGAGTAGTTACTGGAACCTGGAGAGATCGGTAGTTGCAGGAAAGGGCTGGCTGTCACGGCCAAATCATAATACCACAAAGAGGCCACTGGAGGAATAAAGACCCTGCCCTCTGATTGCCGCTGCTCCTCACTGACTATGCCCAGCCAGAAGTGAGAGGCAAGATAGCACATTGATAATATCCACAAAGGCCAGCCTGTTGGGGATGAGAAGGGTGGGGGTGGGGAATATATCTGCACCAGCAAACCAAAAATATCCATCAAATCTATCAAGGTACATAATTGTGAAATTTCCTAACAGCTGGGATAAAGGATCCTGTAAGTTTGCAGAGACAAAACCTGGTTACCTAGAAAGAACTGGGAATCAGAAAGGTATTGGATTCTCTAAAGCAAACACTGAGAGCTAGAAGATGATGGAGCAAGCCTTCAAAATTCTGAGGGGAAATCAAGGAACACCGAGTGTGACAGTAGGATAAAGTAGGATAAAGAAATTTTAAGAAAAACCAAGTTTCAAAAATATCCCTCCCACATGCCCTTTCCCAAGAATGGAGCCAAAGCATTGTAGAACTCTAAGGGGACAGGCACCATCCACACTGCATTACCTTTCCAGAAGCACAGCTATCTGATAAATGATGTCCTCAAGAAGGCAACAACACAGCAGTCCTGCTTAGGAAGCTACTAGAAGATGTACGTCAAGAAAACAAAGAAAAATGCATTGGGCCTTGGAAAGAGGGGCTCCAACTCAGGGGGCAGAGGATTTCCCAGATGTATAGACAAGAGGAGTTCCTAGGACTCATGCTCCCTCAGACCATGTATCTGGTCTAGGGAGCAAGGTGCTTAGACTAGAGCTGGAAGATGGAAAATGAGGTCATAAAAACAAACCAACCACTGACAGCTTGACTACCTCAGGTATTTGACTGTATTAAGAGTTTTTAGCATTTTGAGAAGGTCTAAATCAGTGAGTAGGTACATAGAAAGGCTTACTCTAAAACAAAGGCTATTATTCCAGGGAAAATATGATTGTAAAAACGGAAATGTAATCATAACATACCATGTGGCTCAGCTTTGAGAGTATTTATGTAACTCTACTAGTGTGCATACTGATACTGATTTATGTGTATGTTGTAGTGAAGAGGTGTAAAAGTACCTACTCATCTTCCATAACAGGAAGTCCACAGTTAATGCCAAAATAGAAATATCAAGAAAAAACAGGATTAAAAAAACCATTTAGAAAGATAAAGGTAAACAAAAATGATGAAAGAATTGAAAACACTTATCTCGAGAGTACAGGAATCATAGAGAAGAAAAGTAGGGCAGGTGTTGTTTTAAAAACACTATTTTTAATTATATAACTCATTATTTAAGCTGTAAAAGTGTATACATGTAACTTTGATAAAAATAAGTATTAAAAAAAGAAGGGAGACCCAGCGTCAGGAAGTCCGAGAAGAAAACCACTGTTTATATATGGTGTGGAATGGGGCAAATTCCACCATGTTACAGCACCTCAGAAAACCGAGCTTACTGGCAGAGGGAAAAATGAGTACGGCTCCTCATGCGGTGTTGAATAAAATGAAGTTCAAAAAAGGAATTTTAGACCTAGGGCCAGTATATTCATTTATGAATTCGCACCACTTACAGTTTTAGCAAGTGCTTTGATTCCTGTTTTTATCTCTTTCCTTTTTCTGGAAAACAGTTTCACCTCATTTTTGATGGCCTGAAATGGAACAAGTACATCACTTAAACAGGCAAGAGAAATTATAGTTGTATGACAGATAGGCAGATAGATGCACACAGACGTACACAGATACACAGGTAGTACTTCTCTGGAAACAACTTTTGTAAAGACTAAGAATACGGAGTGTACATGAAATATCGCCCCTGCACTGCCTTGCTTAAGTCCAAAGCTGCTGTGCAAGTGACCCTGGAAGCAACTTGCAACCGATGTCATTTCAAAGGCCAAAGGAAAGAAGATAAATAGTGAAAAAATTAAATAGAGAATAGCTGACAAAAGCAACCAGTTAGCTATTTTATTGGGAACTTGAGTGAAACTAACAAGCTAACTTCAGACATGAGCTGCTAGTTTTGTCATTTTCCTGCACATCTAAAGCCACCATGTCCTTTCTCCTGTTCCTGGCCCACCTGTTTTCTTCAAATCAACTTTGCAGCAGCCCCCCACATTCACCCCGACATGAAGTATCTGATCGTTCTTCACTTCGGCTTCCCCTGTTTGTTCTGTTTCATATTAGCTTAAGCACTGTTCCTAAAGCTAATAACTAAAGCTAATAATCTAAAACCTTGGGCTAGAGTAGGGTGTTTGCTTTCAGGAAAGTTATTACACTTGTATGATGTAATGTTCTGCCCAGTGGCATCTCATTCTACTTTCTAACTTTCCAATGGGTTTTCATAGGAAACTAATCTATTTGGCACACATACAGAGCATTATTTCAAACCTCCTCCATGTTTTATAAATACCTCTTCGCTTTTTTGTTGTATCCAGGGAATTTCCTTTATGTTATCAACTTGGACTAATTCCTCCTGTGACGAATCAACGCTTGGCTTCATATTTTCATTTATCTTAGAAGAAGACAGACATTTCTTAAAATTAAAATGCTTTTCCTCCCACTCTACTTCATATAATTGCTTTGGATCTTTTTGCACTTGTTGCATTTTTAAAATAATACCAAAAATTTTGCCTGCCCAAGATGTAATATTTTATTAATTTAATTCATATCAGTCTGTCCTTAGGTCAGCCACACCTTTCACTGAGAAAGCAAAAATGATCAGACAGGTCACACATTCACCAAAAAACTCTTTGCTTCCTTCCTGTCATTGCAGACCACATGCTCCTGCCTATCAAGCCGGGCCCTGCCATTTGTACTTAGGATCTCAGTCTTTTCTTCCTTCTTGGGGTCTTTACACTTAAAAAAAAAAAAAAAAAATCCTCTTGCCCTTCTGCACCATCCATTCCTCCTTTCTTTCTTTTTTTTTTTTTTTAAGATTTTATTTATTATTTGACAGAGAGAGATCACAAGTAGGCAGGGCGGGGGGGAACAGGCTCCCTGCTGAGCAGGGAGCCCAATGTGGGGCTCAATCCCAGGACCCTGAGACCATGACCTGAGCTGAAGGCAGAGGCTTAATCCACTGAACCACCCAGGCTCCCCCATTCCTCCTTTCTACTGAAAACTGATATCTGATTTAGCAAGGAAGAGAGAGTGGGTGGAGGGAAGAAGGGAAGGAAGGAAGGAAGGGAGAAAAGAAGGACAAACGCTATATTGGAACTCAACTGTATGTTCAGATTTTGATTCCAAATTCAAGGACTCTCCTTGTTGTATACTTAAATATTCATTCTCCTCATTCATGGTGTTGCTCAGAGAAATTGAAAGTTTCTGGGAATAATGGATAATGTCACTGGCTAGGTTTCCTCCAAGCCGCCTATATTAATTAAAAAAAAAAAAAAAAGGAAAGAAAGAAAAGGACTACAAAATCCAATTTTAAAAAGTTTTAGCAGCATTATTTCCAGATACCTAACCATTTCTACACAAAGAAATATGGGGCTAATTCTCCACAGTGCCCTGTAGTTATTAGGACTCTACTTCTTAGATAGGTGAGTCCTTTCATAGGCTCCCCGACATGATAGTCCTCTTGACCTCTCTGAGTTGACCTCTTCTCACATTGTCCCTGGACCCTTACCCTACACGTCCTCTGTACCTACCCGCCTTGGCCACTGTACAGAAGAGCCATTGTTCTGGTGGAGCCTTAGAATATACTAGGCATTTTACTGCTTCACATACATAATCACACTGTCATATTTGTTCCTTGTAACCCCCACCCGCCATTGAGGGAAGCATTACTCCCATGCAATATGCCAGGGCATCACAAACCTTAGACATATCAGTACTGCATGGATGAGGGATTGTTAAAAACAGATTTCTGGGCCCCATCCACAGAGATTCTGATTCAGAAAGTTTGGGTAAGGACCAAAAATAAGCATTTCTAACAAGTTTACAGTTGCTGCAGGCTCCACCTTGAGGAACATTGTTATAGATGACTTAGAGAGGGTATTATTATGTGCCTGAGGTTACTAACATAAGTTAGTAAGTCCTGGACCAAGGCTTCAAACTCTACTTTGTTTTGAGTCAGAAGTCCACATGATTAATGACACATGGATGGAGATGTCCTTACTTCTAGAAAGAGGGCTCCAGCATTTGTTCATTATTGCTGGAGATGCTGTTTGTTCACTTACTGTACAGGATGTGTTAGGACTTGTATATGAGAGACAAGTTAGTATTTTACTCAGAGTCCATGCATAAAATGGGCGTGAAGATGCAGTGTTCGAATGAGTCTCTGAAATAAGTGATGACCAAAACTGTTACGACGTAAAATCTCCATTTACTTTTATTTAACATTTACAAATATTTAACATTTTCAGTGTCCCATGTTTTGTTACTTTTTTAATCATAGGAAGCACCAGGAGATTTTTTTTTTTTTTTAGCAGCAATAAATTGCACCTTAACTAATGATATCCAACAACAGGCCAAACAAGGCAACATATAAAGTCCAGGCTGTCATCTTCAGGTTCTATCCCTTGGTCATCATTTATATGCTCAAGCAGTATTTTACTTGGAATTTTAATTTTAATCTAAGCAAAGTCTACATAATTTGATATTGTCTAAGCAAAGTCCCACTAGGGAAGTATATCTACCTGGGTGTGCACATGCATACAAATCTATGTCAGGTTTTTAAGGGATGAACAGGAGCTTAAGAAAATGATCTACTCTTCACGATGGTCCTCATTCATTGTACTCCTCCAACAGGTGTTATGAAAGGAACGACTATCATCTCATATGTACTATGTCTTGTTATTTTTTTGTATTTTGATGCTTTGACATCTGGGGCCCTGCTGACCCTGGTGGGACTGCCCCTCCGGAGACCCACCAGTTGGTACAAATAGGAAACCACTCACCCTGGAGCCACCTCTCAAAGGCAAGCCAATCAATCCAGAGCCCACCCCTCCAACTCAGGGCCGCCATTTCCCTGCCTTAATCACCCCTGGACCAAATATCAGACAACCAGGGCCAGCACCCATGCTCTAGAACCTGCTGAAATTAACCAAACTAACCAATGCTAACCCTGTCTGCTCCTTCCCATGGAAACCAAACTAAGGCTTTTGCCCATATTTCCTTTGTTCTTTCTGCCTTGTTATCCACCTAGGTGCCTTCCTCTGCCACATATGTTGGCAAACCTCCTTCTTTTGGGCAGTGAATATAATAATTTTTTCGATGGCAGTTGTCTCCTGTTATGATGGCCTTGCTCTACATAAATAGTAACAAAATCTTTATTTTAAAACACTATAGCGCATCATGTTGCTTACTGTATACCGTACACACCTCCATTTTAGGTAAACAAGGGTGCCATCATCTCTCCCATTCACCAGAATGTTTTGTCCATCCATTGAAATTCTCACTGATTGAATACCATGCCCCTGGTGAGAATGACTCCGACTTCGAGCAAACGTTTCCTTAATAGTTTTAGGAACAAAGTGCAGAAATTACAAATGCAACTTGACCATATGGCTTTTCTAAGAGGGTCACATGTACTTTTGCTTATGGATAAATCTTTTTGTATTTGCTAATAGCAAATTTTTATTTGGCATGGAAGTAGCCTCTTAGTAATACATAGTACTGAAAATCCCTAGTTCAAAACATGCGCACTGATACTGATTTACTTTCTCATCTGTGTTGAATGGAGGGAGAGAGACTATTATCACCAATTTGTAATAGGAAAACTAGACACACAGAAGCAACTTGCTGAGGGCTACACAGTTAGGGGAGGGGACTTGAGCAAGCAGAAATGGCAGATTCAGATGCCTTCAAGAGTAAAGTAGGTTTCATTTCTGTGTGATGAGTGGTTGAGAGAGGAATAGGCACTGTGAAGAATGGAGGGTAATATGCCCCACATGGAGGATGCTAAACCAGTTCAAGTAGAACCCGAACAAAACATATCACTGATCTGTTACACAGGGCAACAGTTTAAGTTCCTTGACTAAAAATTGGGATTTCTGTGTCACACTGGTTCTCAACCATGATTTTTTTTTAAATTTAACTTTTTAAATAGGTAATACATTCAAATGGTTCAAGATTCAAAAACTAAGAGTATGCAGTGAAATCTCCTTCCTGTCTCCATTCCCCAGCCACCTCCCAAAGCCGATCGGCATAATTAATACTTTAAATATCCTCTCAGAGGTTTTTTTTTTTTTAATTTTTTTTAAAGACTTTATTTATTTATTTGACAGATAGAGATCACAGTAGGCAGAGAAGCAGGCAGAGAGAGAGAGAGGAGGAAGCAGGCTCCCCGCCGAGCAGAGAGCCCGATGCGGGGCTCGATCCCAGAACCCTGAGATCACGACCTAGAGCCAAAGGCAGAGGCTCAACCCACTGAGCCACCCAGGCGCCCCCTCTCAGAGGTTTTTAAATGTATATGAACAAATTTTTATGTAGACATAATTCTAAACATAAGTTGTAGCATAATATATTATGCGCCTTGCTTTTCCTTATTAAAAGTAGATCTTGAGGTTCTTTTCATATTGTGGCATAAAGATTTTCTCAGTCTGCATAATATTCCATATTTTCTTTATGTATTGTTTATATAACATTATTTATTTATCCAGTCCTCCATTGGTGGTCATGAGGCTGCTTTTATAAACAGTGCTGCCATAAATAACCTCATATAGGAGGTGCTTTGCATAGAATTACCCAGAAGAATTCTGATGCCTTGCCACATCATGCCACCATCAGCAGTAACATCTATTATAAATCATTTGAATAAGAGACAATGTAGCAAAGTTTGCAAATTGTCAACTTCAAAATAATCTCTAAATGATTCAAGATTGTTCCCATATAATAATGGTATCAGTTTTGCCCAGTTGTAGTCCAAATATGGTTTCTTACACAGATGCACAAGGAGAGCCAGATGTGCATACCAGGGCCCAGTTTATCTGTGGATCTGCAGGAGTGTTTCAAGTAGTAGTTGCAAGGCTTCAGGTGTGTGGGGTAGAACCCTGGGTAAGAATCACTGACCTCATTAAAGTATACTGATAACCAGTACAACTTGGACTCAAAACCTAGAAAAGGATCCTCCGCATCTGGGAGAGAAGAAACTATTTTCATTTTCTCAATGGAAATCAGAACTGGTAGCACTATGGGCGATGTTGAGGTCTCCAAGTGATGAGGGAAGGCTCAGTAAGGGCCACACCCTCTCCCTTACGCTCTTCCAGCATCCCTTGAAGAACTGGGTTGGGGGAGGGAGAGTAGCAGCAATCAGTCCAGAGTCGCTCTAGGCCAGGGAGACAGGAGTAATAATCCCTAGGTTTGCACCACAATGCACCATTTCCAAAGCTGTTTTGCATATACCCTCTCCCCGGCTCTCATCAGAATCCCACAGGTTGAGAACATAGACGGTTCCCCCAATATTACAGATGAGCATCTGAAGCTCAGTGAGTCTCCAAGATACACAACCAAGTGGTGGTGGAGCTGGGCTGCGTTCACCTACAGTATCTCAGTCCCAAGGTCTTTATTGGCAGATCTTGGCCTACTGGTTTCCTCCCTTGGAAACTCGAACCTCACTACATAAAATCACCTGTAAAATGTTTAAGTCAATTTTATTTTTTATAAACATATATTTTTATCCCCAGGGGTACAGGTCTGTGAATCGCCAAAAAAAAAAAAAAAAAAAAAATTAAGTCAATACTACCATCGGTGGTAAATAAATTACGAATTAATTTACCTAAAAAAGAAGCCAAATTCCTTCCCCAATGGCCTTTGTTCTTTATATGAGATCAAGATATGCACCCCAAGATTAAAAAAAAAGGGGGTAACTTACCAAAGTATGAACATCTCGGATACACAGAATTCCACCTTTAGCTATTGTTATGAGCCACAACCCATGTGAAGACAGAGAGAGCATTCCGGGTCCATAGTGTTTGCTTTGCACTTTTTGGTATGGCTTAAGAATGCAAATACCACTGTGTACCTGCCAATCAAAGACCATGACCCCATTAGAGAAAAGATCAGGGGAGGGTGCCTGGGTGGCTCAGTGGGTTAAGCCTCTGCCTTCGGCTCAGGTCATGATCTCAGGATCCTGGGATCGAGCCCCACATCGGGCTCTCTGCTCCGTGGGGAGCCTGCTTCCTCCTCTCTCTCTGCCTCTCTGCCTACTTGTGATCTCTGTCAAATAAATAAATAAAATGTTAAAAAAAAAAAAAGAAAGAAAAGATCAGGGGAGCAGCAACTTAAAGCTTGTGCTTGTGCATATACGGTCAGATTCAAATCTGCAAACACTGCCAATAGAAATAAACCGATACACCACATTTCTTGTACCACTTTTTCATATGTTGGCAAATTCAAGTTTGTTCTAACCAACTAAGAGAAGTCTTTATACATTAGCTACCATTAAATATCCCAGCCTACATCAACAATCTTTTTTTTTTTTTTAATTTGAAAGAGAGAGCACATGCACACAAGCAGGGAGGAGGAGCAGAGTAAGAGGGACAAGCAGACTGTCTGCTGAGCAGGAGCCTGACAGGGGCTCGATCCCAGGACCCCCAGATCTTGACCTAAGCTGAAGGCAGACGCTCAACTGACTGGGGCACCCAGGCATCCCTGACAATCTTTATTTTTTACTAATTCTTTTTACATATCCCCATGCTCAAGTGCAGTTAAATGAGTCAGTGTTCCCTCATGTACTTCCACCTCCAAGCCCCTACACATGCCATGACTTTTGTCTGGAATACCCTTCCCCACTCCATTTCCACCAACCTGTCCCCCTCTACAGCAACTCCCATCTCCTGCCAAGATTGTACACAATATTTCTCCATGTCTAAGTTTGACCTATTCTTCAAAAGCCAATTCAAATACTACCTCCTCTGTAAAGCTTTCCTTGAATTCTCCTTGCCACAACCATTTCTTCGTTCTTGGCATATCTGTGTCTCATACCCTGCTGACATTGGCTACCCTGGGAGAGGAGAGTTTAGAGGGAAGGGGGATAGATAGTCTGGGCCAGTGTGTGTAGCAGGAGTGGTATCATATGAGAGATGCTTGCAATGAGTGTAATGTAAGGATGGCAGAAACATAGTTTATCTATTTTGTGCAATGTTTCATATGGCTCAGGTGCAAAGTTCCATGGAAAACTGCTGACACCTGACACCTGTGGAAGAGATGTTCTGAGGCTATGTTGTATTTAGAGACACTAAAATAATAGTGTTACCTGCATGTTAATCTGACAAGTAGGATGGATGTAACACAAGTATGATGGTGCTCAAAGGTATGTATGACAGATTAACAAATAATGCTAACAATGTATCTAAGTCAAGAATATTATGCTACTATAATAAAGTCATTTGTTAAATGGACTATAATGTTAAAGCATGGATTGTGTCTAATTAGCAAAGTGTGTGAATCTTGGTTTCTAAGCTAAATAAGAGCACACTTAAGTATTGGCGTACTTTTTCAGGAAGAAGGTAGCTGCAGATGTACGACACTTGGTTACAGAAGCCATATATTTGTTGACTTTGAAAGTCCAGCACGGCGGAGGACAGGCTGTGTTCTGTCTCATACTGGAACCTATGAATGAGCTCATCTTTCAGCCTCCCTCTTTCATCAGTAAAGCTCGCAGAAACTGTAAGATCTGGGGAAGAAGAAGATCATTTGCACTGTACATTGCTTTTATTTTATAAGCATTATGAATACGAAAAATGAAATAAAAATTTAAATGTTCAATCAGTAATGCAGAGGCTCTTGAGAGGATAAATGATTCAAAACAACTTCATTAGAACTTCATTAGAACTACTTGAGTATTAAATGACTGATAGTGCATAAAATATCCTTTTTAAGGCCTTTGCTAATTTACTCAATTAAGTAGAGACATATTAAAAGATACTGAGATTCTCAATTAAGACACAAGAATACTTGGAGGTTTTCAGCTCTTTTATTGCAAATTATGTATTTGCAAACCAGCTACCCAATTATATTTGTTATTTAAAAGTCTCTATATTATCAGACCTCTTTATCCAAAAAGCTTTCTACAATTCTATCAGTAGAAGTAACTACACAGTAACCTGTCTGAAGTTTACTATGTATATTAGAAGCCACAAAACAAGAGTTATCAATCAAATATCAAATGACGTCAAAATGACAAATCAGTCCAACAAAAGTGCCAGTTGATCCCGTTTTTCTTCTCTTGTAATAAGATATGTTCATATGAATGACAAGGCCTAGAGGAAAGTCCAAATTTCACATTGTTAGCCGCTACATCAATTTTACTTTGTAAGACGCACAAAAGATGGCCATTTTACCTCTTCACATGCTAAAAGGAAGAAAAATGTAATTACAAGGTGAAAAGAAAATAAGAAAGTTAAGCAACTACTCATCTGGGCCTAGCACAAAATTGTTTGCTTGATTTTTCTTTACCTCGTGGTAGTATTTTAGGCAGAGTAAATATTTCCAATCTGCTTCTTCCTGTTTCTGGAAGTGGGGAAAGCACCATCACTTCTACTATGTCTGTTTCCAAAAGAGACACTGTGGATATTTGTAAAATGTCTTTGCTCACCTCTGAAAGCAAACAGAAATCATCCTAAGTGATCTTTCATAAGTTAAAAGGATCTTTTTTCTTCCCAAGTAAGATACCAGATTATAGAATTGTGTTCCCTAAATCTTTAGATTTCAATTTATTTACTGCATATTTAAAGTGACCTTTAAGTATAAGTGATGGGGACATTTTTGATGAATGATGAGGAGCTGTCATGATTAGATATCTGGGTTGGCAGATTCAAGCCCACTCAGTGTGGCTCAGCTTCTTTCCCTGTCAAGGAAACCTCTGGAGTCTGCGATGTTCACCCCATCAGCTGCACCTCCATGCTCCAGCCCCTCGATGCTCCTCTGTGGCCTGTTCGTCCACTCCTGATATTGGATCAACTCAAGCATCAGTGTTCTTTGCATCTGTAGTCAAGATATTGCAGGGGTGGTGGAAATGCCCATGGCATGATGAGTCTGCTCCCCTGGAAATCAGGTCTCTGGAAGGTGCCATGCCTGGGGCACACCTTCAGCTCTCTCCAAAGTCTTTCCACAGGGGCTGTTTTATATGTGTCCACTTTATCTGCCCCTCCCCTCAGGTGTTCATCTGATGATCTTTCCCCTGACATAGCAAAGAAGACCAAAGACATCTGATACAAAGTGGACCTCAATGTTCTTATCCAGAAGGCATTTTTGTATGAACAAAATGCAGTCCTTTGCATCTCTTATTTTGAGTCCTCAAAATAAGAGTCCATGCCACCAATCTCCTATTAGACCATGTGCACTCAAGGATCACATCTTGTGTCTTTTACGGTTTCTTCTATTCAGCTCTCAAGACTCCCCGGTTCTCAAATTGAGTACTTGCTGCAAGCCTGCTTTCCCACCACAGTTGCCATCTATGTCAATTCTCTTTTTTCTGCTGCAAACTCCTTAAAACAGGAGTTTCTACTTACTGACTTCACTTTCTGACTGCCAGCCCTCACTGCAGTTGAGTTTATGTCAGTCCACACCCTCATCCAGCCTTCCTCCCTCAAGCTCTTTCTGGAGTGGGTGACTCCCAGTGCTCTCATTACTCTGGTCTGTCCTGTTTGCTTCACTGTGCCATCGTCCTTGGTCCATAACTTCAGTGGAAGTTGCTTTTCCCATCCCACACTCTGACTGACCAGACATATTAAAAAATGGAATATTTAGGCGGGATGTGCATTCACTCTGAGGTAAGCCATAGGTCCTACCATGCTCTAGGTCTTCAAATTTACATATTTAACCTAACTGGTTGGTCTCATTAAGCAATTGGATTTGTTTTTCTCTGTCTTCTTAAGCCATATCATCAGCTTTCATAATTTCAAGATCAGAATTCTATCATTGAGACTTGAACTAAAAATCTCCATTTCCAAACATTAGCTAAATATCCCCCACTAAAGAGCTTATTAGCTTCAACTCTACAGAGCTTGTCATCTCACACTAACCCTCAACCTTTTGTCTTGAGTTTTTACTTCATTTGATGAAACCATGGGCTAGAAATTTTGGAGTCATTGCTGACCCTCCCCTTTCACATTTAATGGAGCACCAAATTCTATCAATTCCATCCCTCAGAGCTGTCCCCTCTCTTCTCTTTCTAGGACTGCTGCCCGGTGGGTGCCCTGTGGATGAGAGCAAAAGCCCGAGGACAGACTTCCTGATTTTGAGTCCTGGCTCCATAACTACCGAACTACATGACTCTGAAGAAGTACTTGACGGTGCCTCAGTTGTCTCATCTGTAAATTGGGATAGTAATAGTCTCTATCTCATGAGAGTTTTCTGTAAGCATTAAATGAATTAACACATGCCAAGTTCTTAGAACACTGACTATCACATGTCAAGGAATCCCTCGATAAATGTTGGCTGTTGTTATGATTCATATCACCTCTTGCCTGGGCTACTCTAATTATTCCCTAACTCATCTTTTTAAATTCCATTCTCTCTATCCTTCATACTTGTGGCAGAGTCGTCCTTTAAAACTCAAGTCAAATCATACCTGTCTCATCTTGAAAACTTCTGACTGTGTCTCATTACCCACAGAAAAAAGTCCAGACTCCTTGGAATGATATTCAAGACCTTTGTCTTCTTTCAGACTTCATTGCCATGTTCATCATCTAGTAAACTTTTCTGTTAACCTACCATACCAGACTTCCTGCCATTCCAAGTGCCTTTGCTCAGTCTTTTATCTTGAGCTGGATTACTAATATGCCGTCTTCCACAACTAACACCCTCAGAGTACTCACCCCCAATCCTCTATGCCTCCTTATCTGTATTCCCCTCTACCCCTACTCCTTCCCTCACAGGGAAGGGAGGCAGAATTAATTGTTTCTTCCTCTGAGACCACACAGCACTCTGCTTATTCCTCCAGCACTAAACTGACTCCTCGACTTCCCCATCCCCCCACTGGCCTAGGTTTGGCATTTTTACACCTAATAGTCATCTAACTTTATACCTAATACACCTAATTTTAAAAAGTCAATAATAAATTTAACTATGTTTTGGGGAAAACATACATATATATTTAGTCCTTAGGTCAGAAAGAAAACTATTAGGTCTTACTATTTATCATATAAGTGTTACCTCACCTGCCAGGTCTATAGTTTCCCTGGGCATGGGGATGGCATTACTGAAAAAGCTGGATATAATTTTGTTGAAAGAGGAAATATTAAAGATGCATGTATTAAAGCTTTCTTTAGATATCTCTATTAAATAGAAATATTTTAAAATATATTTCAAGGACAAACCAACCAAACTTCATTTTGTAATGACATTAGAAATATCTAGCATTATATATATGCATATAATATACACATATATTATACAGTATATAATGTATATAATATGCATATATATACTACATATAATGTCTAACATTAGAAATATCTAAATTCATTAATTTATTTAAGAAGGTTTATTTAACATCAACTGTGTACCAAGTAGATGTACCAAAAACCCTTTAAATATGATGTAGGCATCCTCCTATGTAACTTACAACAGTTATTTAAATGTCTCTTTTTTTAGAAAATATACCACAAATAATTGTTTCACTAGAGCTCCATTTCCACAATTTTAAATTCTTTGGAATGAAGTGACCAATATTTTAAATTAATAAGCACTTCACGTAGTACCTACAAATCCAAGGATCTGAAATGAGCTTGATGGATTGGCATTGATAACAAAGATGTAGCCCTCTGATGTTCCAGCTAATAGATAGATCCCTTGCTGGTCATAACTAGAAAAGAAAGAAAAGAAGAAATCTGAGGATCCAATTTTGTTTCACTAATAAGATGGTAAACAAATTTACTAGATGACAGCATGGAGATACACTCAAAACTAGTCACTCTTATGATTTGTGACTTTGAATACTATTCCATCTTATAGAAAAAAGCCAAGTGATGACATATAAATACAATCATGACATTCCAAGTTAATGCTGTTTCCAAACTGCAGCTTATAAGTGCACAGTCAAGAAGATGCAGTAGCACTGGGTAAGCATTTCATCATAAGTGAAAGGTATTTCCAGGGGAAATAAACAGCCCTCACACCAGTGATCAGTGTGACGTCGCAGCCCTCTGCAGTACCAGTGCCCCACAAGGGGAGGAAGAAAGTAGTGAAATGTTCCAGCACCTTCATGAAATTAGAAAAATGAGAAGATCCAAATTAAAATAATAGAAGAGGATCTGAGAAAGAGGAGGCAACAAATGTATAGATGGAGGCAGGTGAGGGGTCCTCTCCCCCTGAGAGGGAGGAGGCCTCTTGTAGGAAACAAGGAGGTGGGTGCACTCCTCCAGGTGCTTGTTGGGCAATTCTCCAAAGGCTTCTCTCTTCACTTCTCTGAACCTGCATTCCTTCATTTGTGGAATAGGGACACGCTTAATACCTTTCTGACCAGTGTAGTGAGGATCACATTCAATACGCTACACTGTCTGCCAGCACCTCAAACTGTAAAGCAGGGCACAAATGTCAGTTCTGATAATACTTACTATTATGATAAATTAACAAAAGAATGAACAATGGCAACATATGGGTTTAAATCCAATGTCTTTGTGCTGTCTTCTAAAAAGTATTACTTCAAAAGATGTGAAATCATCTAAATGTCCATCCATACAATCTTTTTAAAATTATGGTATATTGAGTATTTACCCCCCAAATACAAAAACACTAATTTAAAGGGATGCAGGCACCCCTATGTTTATTGCAGCATTATCTACAATAGCTAAATTTTGGAAGCAGGCCAAGTGCCACGGATAGATGATTAGATAAAGAAGATGTGGTGTATGTCCACACAATGGAATATTACTCAGTCATAAAAAGAATGAAATCCTGCAGAATGAAATCTGCAACAACATGGATGGAACTAGAGAGCATAATACTAAGCAAAATAAGTTAGTCAGAAAAAGGCAATTAACATAATTTCACTCATATGTGGAATTTAAGAAACAAAATAAATGAGCAAAGGAAAAAGAGAGAGAGAGAGAGAGAGAGGAAAACCAAGAAACAGATTCTTAACTATAAAGAACAAACTGATGGTGACCAGTGGGGAAATGAGTGGGAGAAAGGTGAAACAGGTAATGGGGATGAAAGAGAACACTTGGCAGGGTGAGCACTGAGTAGTGTGTAATAGAACTGTTGATTACTATAGTGTACACCTGAAACTAACATAACACTGTATGTTAACAATACTGGAATTAAAATAAAAGATTAAAAAGTTATAGTGTATCCATATAATGGAATATTATGTAGCCATAAAACAGAATAAGGAAGGTCTTTATGTGTGAAGAGAAAACCTGGTCCAAGAGACACCCTGAAGTGGGAAAAAAAAAAGAGGTATAGAACATTGTATATGGTTTGCTGTTTGTTTAAAAGCAAAGACATTTAAATAAAAACTTGAAAAAAATAAAGGCAAAGGCAGTGATTCCGGAGCCCAATGCCTGGGTCTGCTCCTGACATTTGCCATTTCCAAGGTGTGTAACATGAAGCAAGTCACTTAAACACTTTGTGTCTCATCTTCCTGCTCTGTAACGAAGACAAGAGCATCCATCTCATGAAGTCGATAGAACCATCTACATAGCACATTTTAAGTGCTTGACAGTTATTTGTGTGATTAAAAGGAAGTGTTTACTTTTATGATTATTTATGGATGGACTATCTCTGGAAAGAAGAAATGAGAAATTGGGAACAGGCTGTCTACAGGGAGGAGTACTGGGTGTCGGGGGACAAGAGTGGGAGACTTTTTGCTATGCACCCCTCTGGCCTTTTGGAACACTGAACTGAGCCAATGTGTTCATTTTCAAAACAAAAGAGGTAAAACTTAAATTTGAAAGAAATTATGGCTTGGGGCGCCTGGATGGCACCGATGGTTAAGCGTCCAACTCTTGGTTTTGGCCCTGGTCATGATCTCAGGATTGTGAGATAGATCTCCCCCATTGGGCTCTGTGCTCAGTACAGTCTGCTTAAAACTCTCTCTCCCTTGCCTTCTACCCCTGCCCCCTCAAGTGAATAAATAAATCTTAAAAAAAAAAAAAAGCTATGGCCTTACTGGAATTTGAACAGACAAGCCACTACAACGTCGCTGCTGGAAGCAGGGAGTACTTACAGGAGGTGTTGCACAGACCATTCAGAGGGGAAGGCCTTGTGAACAGCCTGAGGCGCCTCAGCATCCCTGACATCGAGGAAGTGGATGGAGCCCCCCGTGGTGCCCACGGCGGCAGAGAGGGAGGAAGGAGAGCAAGCCAGCACTGTTGCCTGTTTAAAATAACTCCAGATGCTTAACTTCACTGTGCCAGAACATGAAGCCTGCTTTACCACACATAAGAACCTACGGTTTATTTGAAAAGCCCTCCGAATGAGGAGCGCGGCAAGTGTGTGGTATTACAAATTAGACATGCAGCATTCCTGAGCTAATCGACTGCACAAGTCACACGAATCTCTACATGTTATTCTTTTATCCTAACATTAGAATCACAAAAATATAAAGAGATTTCTCGAGCCTTAAACCATGACTTCATTTTTATCCCCAAATGATTATGAAATGATTATACCAACCATAATGAAAAAATAAAATTTAAAATACATTCATAGCATCTTTTGGACATCGTTACCAAATGTTAGTGATTTTTAAAAATCAGCATTCATCTGTTGGATAGTAGTAGACCCTGGGAGGCTGGTATGATGGAGGAAGACAAGAAAATAACCATATCACTGCACTATGTAACCAAAGCCCTGCATCAGAGATTCCCACTCATCTCACAATCACTTATGGAATATGACGTCTAGGAGAATACATTTGCTTTCATGATACTTAAGCAATCAGCTTCATTCTCTATAATCATACTTTGTAGGTTGTTTTGAATAAAATCAAAGAACATTAGAAATAGAAAAGACCTTAAGAGATAATCATTTTGTAGAAGAGAAAATGGAGGCCAAGAGAAGAAGAGCAATTTGCCTCAGGATCCTGTAGCTGATGATGAAGCTGAGAACTCAGGTGTCCTGCCTCATTAAAATGCACAGTTGCTCAACCAAGGAGATTTTCATTTGATTTTCAAGACGAATTTTAAAGGTTGAGTCTTCAGTGGTATCTCATGCGCAACTGTAAACAAAATGGCAAGGGTCTTTTTTTTTTTTTTTTAAACTGGAAGACTTTAATGGGGTGTGTGTGTGTGTGTGTGTGTGTGTGTTTTCTCAAAATAATCTGTTGAAACTATCTTCTATTCCAGGGCAATAGTAGGCTAAGGCTAACCAAGGACAGTAGTATCTTGGAGAGTCTTATGTACCTCAGCAAGTACCATCAAGAGAAGCTGCTAGTGCCCAGATATCCTCCCATCATAGTACTGGGCCAAGTTCTCTGAAGCCCACTGCCTGAAATGTTCATGAGGAACACAGTCCCAGGCATAGCAGGGAAATCTGGCCTCAGCATTGCTGGGTCAAGTGTACTTATCAATATTCCACAAGGCATCAGTATTCTCCAGTGAGGAAAAACCAGCCATTATCCCCAACTCAGTCTGAACCACATGAGTATACCATGCCTGGTTTGGAGCTCAATGAAGGTTTGTCAAATTAAGTATGAAAGCTGTCTGAGCTTCACCCCTTCGCTCAGGTGAAGGCAAGATCTCTGATGCAGAAAGCAGACCTTCTCATGGTGTCTATCTCTCTCCTTAGCCAAGAAGAGCAAGGTTAAGTCCAGACTATAGAAACTCTCGGGTAGGTTGTTAATCATTTGTATGTTTCTCGTCTGTGAAAGATGTGATCAGATGAGCTTTAAGACCTCTTCTAGTTCTAGTAGTTCTAATAGAAATGAACACATAGGAGCTCTTGTCACCAGAGTATAAGAATTTTTATATTTACTTGTCAAGGTGAGTTTTATATATCCCATTGAACTATGTATCTTTTGTGTCTTATAATTTTCTTATGTGAGGTATGAAGCTTCCTCTTGTTTTATAATTGAGATTTTAATTTTATAAAGGGCAAGGATTGTAACTTCCATACCTACTACCAAGATCCAAGATCCATACCTCATCTAGAACTGTGTAATATAACAAATGATGATAATATAAGGGGGAAATACCATTGCCATCGTTTCTTGGTTCTTTCATGTTTTAACTTAAAGTATTATTTTATGGAGAATGTATTATGAACGTGGCAGAAATAATGGTATCGCCCTTTGGCGAGTGTTGTGAACAACTGTGGTTTATTCCCCAGTATCCAAATACCTTCTTTCTGGTACTTGAATATCTACTGAGAAACCATCTCTCCTATTTTGGGAGTTCAGAGAAACAGATCTGACTCCCATTTTCAAGGCTGAGCTTAAGCCAATTAGCATTTCTCATTCCCCTGTCCACAGTGATTAGTTCAGAGATGTTATTAAGACATTAGAAGACATTTAGCTTGATGGAAAAGAGAAACTTCTTTTCTCTTCCTCTTCCCACTGGAGGAGGCTTTCTTCCCTGATGGTCTGACACCTGTGAGGTTGACTCCTGTGGCATTTGGGTATCGCTAAAAGAAGCCTAAGATGAAACTAGAGACATAGAGAGAAAAACAAGATCCCTGGTAATATCATTTGAGTTGCTGGACTGAGTAACATCTGAGGCCAGACAAGTCCTATACTTTATAGCTGATTAAGCCAATAACCCCCACTTTTTAATTTTTGTCTCAAGCTGGTTAGAGTGGCTTTTTCTTTCATTTCTAACTGACCTCCTTGAGGTTAGATGGGGCCATTTAATTAGTTATAGCCAAGGGGGTGATTCATGTCTGAGTAAAAGCAACTAATTGCTAGTTCAAGACTCTCTGGCATTCCCTCCCCATACTGTGGCTCTTAAGAGCTATTATTAGGTGGTGGCCCCTCCCTCAGCGTGGCTCCCTGGGTGAGGGACTCTGGAGCAGAGACGCTGCTACTGCACAATGAAGTTTTAGCACGAGTGAGCTATAAACCACTAGGACTTCGAAAATAGCTGTTCCCGCAGAAAAACATTCCTGTACTCCAACTCAGCACCTTATGTTCTACCCTCTGGGCTGTAGAATACATTTTATACACAAGAATTATTCTAAATATATAGGGTAAAAATGCAATAAGGCACCTGCAACAAGTATTTCTGCAGACTTGACATGTAATTATGAAAACACAGATTGGATTAGAATTTAATATTTTAATCAATTTATAAGGCACACTTACTGGGGTATTCAGATAAATCCTGCTAGCACAAGTACCATCTTCTGTATACCAAACACAAACTTCCCCTGAATGGGTGAGTGTCTATTAAAAAAAAAGAAAAAGAAAACTCAAAATGGAATATAAGACTCTGTTATGGAACCATGTTCTAAATCGCTTTACAGTACGTCAGTAACTCTGATGATTTAGTATAAAATTTCATTTTACTCATATAGATTATAATAACACTCACAACATCAGTACTTCTGATTTGAACAAAAATAACTATTATCTTTTTTTAAACTAGTATGTTTAGTACAATTTAAGTAATGTAATGACTAAGATTAGAAAAGTGAAATAATTTTTTTTCCATATAACATAATTGAGTTACTTGAAAATTGAACAGGATTATTGTTTAATGAATAAAGCTAGAAATGGGAAATTAGATATGTATTTTTTTAACTAATGGACTTTGTTATAAAAACAAAACAAAACAACAACAAAAAAAAACAAAGCATGGGGCTTGAACTCAAGACCCTAAGATCAAGACCTGAGCTGGCATCAAGAGTCAGACACTTATCTTTAAAAAGGGGGGGGTTGGCATCAGGATGGCTCAGTTGGTTAAGCAACTGCCTTCAGCTCAGGTCATGATCCTGGAGTCCCAGGATCGAGTCCCATATCCAGTTCCCTGCTCAGCAGGGAGTCTGCTTCTCCCTCCGACCCTCACCCCTCTCATACTCTCTCTCAAATAAATAAATAAAATCTTAAAAAAAAAAAGGTCAGACACTTAACTGAGCCACCCAGATGCCTCTAACAGACTTTGCTTTTAAGAGCAGTTTTAGTATTAAAGAAAATTTGAGCAGAAACTAGAGAGTTGCCATACCCTCCCCCCAACATATACATACTATTTCCTCTATTATTATCTTGCATTAGTGTGGTAAATTTATTAGAACTGATGAGCCAATATTGATTCATTGTTATTGATAAAGCCCATAGTTTACATTAAGATTCGTCCTTTGTGTTATGCATCCTGTAGATATCCATTGTATGGTTTTGATAAGTGTGTGATATGTATCCACCATCACAGTATCATGCCGATACACTGCCCTAAAAATTCTCTGTTCTCCACCTCCATTCTTCTCTCACTGAGCCCCTGGCGACCCATACTGTCTCCATAGTTTTTCTTTTTTCCAGAATATCATATAGAGGAAATCATACATCTTTCTCAAATTGGCTTCTTTCATTTAATGTTATGGATTTAAAGCTATTCTATGTCTTTTCATAGCTTAATAGCTCACTTATTCTTAGTGCTGAATAATATTACATATATTCAGCACTATTACTTAGTGCTGAAATATATTATTAATAATATAGTATTGATACGCCACAGTTTATCCATTTACCTATTAAAGGACATCTTGGTTACTTCCAAGTTTTGGCAATTATGAATAAAGCTGCTGTAAATATTCATGTGAAGGTTTTTGTGTGGGCATAGGTTTTCAAATAATTTAAGTAAATAACAAGAAGCTTAGTTCCTGAATCATAAAGTAAGAATGTGTTTAGTTTTGTGAGAAACGGCCAAACTTCCAAAGTGGCTGTACCATTTTGATTCCTATAGGCAATGAATGTTCCTGTTGCTTCATATCCTTGCTAGCACTTGATATTGCCAGTGTTTTAGATTTTAGACATTCTAATACATGTGTGGTGTCATCTCATTTGCAATTCTCTAATGACGAATACTGTTAAACATCTTTTCATATACTAATTTGCCTTTGGTATATTTTCTGTGGCAAAGTACTTGATCTTTTGCCCATTTTTTACTGCAGTTAGTTATTTTCTGATTGTTGAGTTTTAAGAGTTCTTTTTATATTTTGGAAACCAGTCCTTTATCAGATACAGGTTTTGCAAAGACTTTTCTCCCAATCTGTGGCTTTTCTTTTCTTTCTTTTAAGGGTGTCTTTCCCAGAGTACAAGTCTTTTATTTTAATGAAGTCCAACTTACCAATTTTTCCTTTTGTGGATTATGTTTTTGTGTTGTGTTGAGAAAGTCATTGCCAAACCCAAGATCACTTAGATCTTTCTATTTTTCATCTTACATTTAGGTCTATAATATTTAGGTCTATAACCCATTGTGAGTTAGTTTTGAGAAAGTTATAAAGTCTGTGACTAGATGGTGATGATGATGATGATGATGACTTTGCACGTGGATGTGCAGTTGCTCCTGCAACAATTTGGTGAAAAGACTAAGCCTTCTCAATCGAATTGCTTTTGCTCCTTTGTCAAAGGTCAGTTAACTATATTCATGTGGATCTATTTCTACATTCTCTATTCTGTCCCATTCATCTATTTGTCTAGTCTTTCATCAGCACTATACTGTCTTGATTACTGTGGCTTTGTAAATCTTGAAATTGGGTAGTGTTAGCTTTATACTTTGTTCTTCAATATTGTACATGTTTTTCTTTTATTATGTTATGTTAGTCACCATACAGTATATCATTAGTTTTTGATGTAGTGTTCCATGATTCATTGTTTGCATATAACACCCAGTGCTCCATGCAATCCGTGTCCTCCTTAATACCCATCACTGGGCTCACTCATCCCTCCACACCCTCCCTTCTAAAACCCTCAGATTGTTTCCCAGGGTCCACAGGAAAAGTCCATTCCTTCTCCTAATGTCCTCCATGCTATTCCTTATATCCCACAAATAAGTGAAACCATATGATAATTGACTTTCTCTGCTTGACTTATTTCACTTAGCATAATCTTCCCCAGTCCCATCCATGTTCATGCAAAAGTTGGGTATTCATTCTTTCTGATGGCTGAGTAATATTCCATTATGTATATGGACCACATCTTCTTTATCCACACATCTGTTGAAGGGCATCTCGGCTCTTTCCACAGTTTGGCTATTGTGGACAATCCTGCTATGAACATTGGGGTACATATGGCCCTTATTTTCAATACATCTATATCTTTGGGGTAAATACCCAGTAGTTCAATTGCTGGGTCATAGGGTAGCTCTATTTTTAATTTTTTGAGGAAACTCCACACTGTTTTCCAAAGTGACTATACCAACGTACACTCCCAACAACAGTTTAAGAGGGCTCCCTTTCTCCACAATGTCTCCAACACTTGTTGTTTCTTGCCTGGTCAATTTTTGCCATTCTAACTGGCATAAGGTGGTATCTCCATGTGGTTTTGATTTGAATTGCCCTGATGGTTAGTGATAACGAACATTTTTTCATGTATCTGTTAGCCATTTGTATGTCTTCTTTGAAGAAGTGTCTGTTCATGTCTTCTGCCCAATTTTTTGACTCGATTATTATTCTGAGTCTTTTGCCTCTTCACATACACTTCAAAATCAGTTTATTGATATCCGTAAAATAACTTCCTAGGATTTTGACTGGTATTGCATTTCATTTTCATCCTCAGAGGGTCTGTACTACTCTGAAAGAGGGTAAACAGTAATTGTTTAATGAGTTTTGATAACTCATTGGCAATGAATGTGTTGAAAGATGTGACTTGGAAAACTTGGATGATGAGTATAAACAGGATGGCTCCTAAGATTTCAATTGCTTTGACTGTTTTCAGACACTTAATATTATGAAGTCACAGTACAATGATGTCATCTAACTGGGGAGTATATTTGATGATGAAAGTGGTTGGCATTTCTTCCACATCCTCAAGAATACCCTCTGCCTCCTATTTGTATAAGGTTGCAGAAGATCTTCCAAAATCATTTTTAAAAATCCTACTGTGAGATAATAAAGTATTCCTTACCATGCAGTATTCATTTCTGGGTGGGATAAAGTCAATTGCCTGAAATTTCCCATCACAAGCCTCTAGGACTTTATCAAATGTCGGCTTCTCACCAGGAGTGTAAATATAAACAGATCCCTGTTAAATATACCAAAAAAAAAAAAAAAAAAAAAAAAAGAAAAGAAAGAAAGAGATGTAATTGTTATGTATGCAGTTCAACAAGTATTTATTAAATGTCCACTGTGAGCAAGGTACTGTGTCGGAAATTAGAGATTAATTTAAGTAAGGCCCTGACCTTGAGGAGCTTAAAATCTTGATGCTTAATTTGTTTGTTTATCAATTCATTCATTCATTTATCATTTAAAATAATCAATAAATGGGGCTTTCTTCTTTTCTCCAAATCCAAATATTTGGTTTTTAAGTTATAAAACACAACAAAACATTTTTTCCGACCTCAAAAATAATGTCTATTTATACAAAAAACTTGGAAAATGTGGAAAACCAGGAAAGTTGTGGAGACGAACTAACTCTTATCACATACTAGACCATGGTGGGCATTGATACAAACTTTTAAATAAGCCTTTGAGGAAATTGTGGAGGTGTAGCCGAAGATGTTACTTCATGATTTTTTGTAATTATCAGCTGCCAATTCACCTCAAAAAAAAAAAAAAAAATCTATCCTGTCAGTTGGGACTCTCTGCCAAGTAAATGTAATATGGTGTGAGCACATAAGTAGCAATAAGAAGTCTGCTTTCAACTAACAGCAAGTTTTTCAAGTTTGAGTTAAGTGTGAGTATTTTTGTTCTTGTTTATCTAAAATTCAACTTTGTAGAGTCTAAATTTGATAGATATTCACTGATTTTACCTTGTACTCATTCCTTCAACAAATATTGAGTGGATACGCTGTGCCAGGCACTTCTCTGGATCCTGGGCCTATATCAGAGGACAAAACAGACAAATATTCCCTGCCCTCATGGAGCTTACATTCTGCTGGGGGATTCAGACAATGGACAAGGTATCTAAATAAACAGCAGTGATTGTAAGAATAAAAAAATAAAGCAGGTTAAGAGGATATGACATGGCAAAATAAGAATGTGAAATTCTAAACCAAGTGTCCAAGAAAGGCTTTACAGAGATGACTTAAAAGACTTGAAGGAAATGAGGAAAGAAAGGATCCATGTGGAGTCTTTGGGAAGAACATTCCAGACAGAGAGAGTAGCCAGTGCACAGAGGGAGGAACATGCTGGGTGAGTTAAAGAATACAGCATGACGGGGCACCTGGGTGGCTCAATGGGTTAAAGCCTCTGCCTTTGGCTCAGGTCATGATCCCAGGGTCCTCCTGCCATCGAGACCCGCATCATCGGGCTCTCTGCTCAGCAGGGAGCCTGTTTCCTCTTCCCTTTCTGCCTGCTTCTCTGCCAACTTGTGATCTCTGTCTGTCAAATAAATAAATAAAATCTTACAAAAAAAAAAAAAAAAGAATACAGTATGATGGCTAGCATGACCAGAGCAGGGTAGGGGGAGATAAGGCCCAGGGGTGAGTAGAATCCACATTATGAAGGGATTGTAAAGCAGAGTGAGGATGCTGGCTCTTAGTCAGAATAACATGGGGGAATCACTGGAAGCTTCTGAAGAGAAAATGGAAAAGTTGTTCTCACTTTGCCTGCTGTGTTGGGGATACAGTTTATTCTATCATGTACTGGGTAAAGTGTATTAAAATCTCCCATTGAGATTACAACTTTGTTTCTCCTTGTCATTTTGTCACATTTTGCTTTTATATATTTTGGGACTATTTTACTTGGTACATATATATATTAAGCATTGATATGTTCCTACTGAATTTAATCTTTTAATATTTTTGAAATAAGCCCGTTTATCTTTAGTAATATTTTTTGCCAGAAAGTCTATTTTGTCTGATATTTAATAGAGCACCACTGGCTTTCTTTCTGTTAATGTTTGCATGTTAGATCTTTTTCTGTTTTTTTACTTACTTTCAATTTTTAAATTTACTTTCAGCATTACTGTACTTTTTATTTTTATTTACTTTCAATCTTACTGTATGCTTATGCTTTAGCTGTGTCACTTGTAAACAGTACATAACTGGGTTTTGCTTTTTTTTAATCCAGTATTGCAAACTTCGCCTTTTAACTACATTAAATAATTACTAATATTTGAGTTTAAATTTTTTTTAAAGATTTTATTTACTTATTTGACAGGCAAAGATCACAAGTAGGCAGAGAGGCAGGCAGAGAGAGAGGAAGAAGCAGGCTCCCCACAGAGCAGAGAGCCCGATGCGGGGCTCAATCCCAGGACCCTGGGATCATGACCTGAGCCAAAAGCAGAGGCTTTAACCCACTGAGCCACCCAAGTGCCCCTTGAGTTTAAATATTACATTTTAATTTATGCTTCTACTTTCTTATTTGTTTGATATTTCTTTTTCTCTCTTTTCTTACCCTGTTTTGGGTTGCTTTCTAAAAACATTCTGCTTTCTCCATCTATAGTGTAGACATTTCATCTACTGTTTCAGTTCTTTATTGCTACCTTAGAAGTTACAACATGCATACTTAATTTATAAACACCACAAGGTTACTTAAAACCTTTATCTTCTGCCTGGGAAAAGTAAATAATGAACTTGAAACACTTGAATCCATTTACTCTTTCCCCTCAGTTTACATTATTGCTGTCTGGGATTTTAATTCAATGTTATTATTAAACCCAACCTCACATTATTTTTGCTGTTTTATACAGGCAGTATTCATTTCTCCACACTACTATTCATTCTTGCAACACAATCTTCCAACTGGGATCCTTTTCCTTCTGCCTGACGTATATTCTTTAGAATTTTCTCTAGTAATGGTCGGTTGCTGACAAACTCTCAGTTTTGGAACATCAAAATTATCATTTTTTTCACCCCTATACTGAAAAGTACTCTCACTGGGTATAGAATTCCAGGTGGTAGTTACCTTATTTCATTACATCAGCATACTTTTTCTATAAATGGACAGACAGTAAATATGTTAGGCTTTGCTGGCCACATGATCTCTCATAACTACTGAATTCTACTGTTGTAGTGTGAAAGCAGCCATAGACAATACATTAATGAATGGTATGACTGTGTTCCAATAAAACTTGATTTATAAGAACAAGCAGCAGGCTGGTTTGGGCCTACAGGGCCATAGTTTGCTGATGCCTTCTGCTCTACATGGAAGGTAGCATTCCATTATTTCTTACTTACATTATTGTCACAGAGGAGTCAGTTGTTAGTCTAATTGAAATTCCTTTGATAATCTGTTTTTCTTTATGATTGTTTTTATGATTTTCTGTCTTTCATTTTCAACAGTTTCACCTTTTTAAATCTAAGTGTGTTTAACTTTTTAGGTATTCCGCTTGAGATTCACTGGACCTCTTGAATCTGTAAATTCGTGTTTTTAATCAATTCTGGAAAATCTCTCTTAAAATATTGTCTGTACCTCACTCTCTCTCCAGTCTGGGGTTCCAATCAAACGTACACTGTATCATTCATGTCTCTTACTCTCCCTTCTGTATATCTTACCCTCCTGTGTATCTGGGCTATATTCTAGATAACTTCTTTTGATCTATCTCCAATTCACTAATTCTCTCTTTGGCTGTGTCCAATCTCTGTCAGACATATTCATTTAATTTTTACTTTTTCAGTATATTTTCTCTTTTAGAAGTCCTATTTTAGTCTTTCTCCCTTCTGTTATGTTACATTTTTTTGTTGATTCCTGTTCTTCATAGGTATTCTAGGATTTTCATTTATTTGTTATTTATTAAAACACAGTTAGCCAGTTGTTTTAACTTCAGGTATTTACCAGCAAATGATATCTTTCCATATTTAAATTTAAGTTTCCTTTAGGCAGAAAATCATTGATCTTTCCTTATAATCCATCTAAAGTCACTGCTTAACAATATAAACTACTGTTAACCCTGACTTTTGAGAGTCATTCCATTAATTAGGAGTCTTTCTAACAATATAATTGAGATGGACATTTCATTTTATTCTGCATTTATTCCCCTTCCCTTCTTCTTTTACAGAACCCATATTTTCCTTAGAAAACCATCCATGACCCCAATCTCAGTCAATGTTTGTTTGGGTTGACACTATACAGGGTTCAAGTGTAGACATGTAACATAGGCCTGGTCAATGACAGCTTAGAATCCTCCTGGACATAGTAATTGCCACAGGGGTAGAGAGGTGACCAAGTAAATACAATGAATCTAAATTCCAGGACATTTTTTCATGGTGTCTTTCCACTAGGGTCACCACCAGGGTAGAAATATAAACTAGAGTTGCAGGAGGTTCTCTGCACACCTTCCAGGAGAATCTTCATGGGAAGGGTGACAGAGAGAAAACAGAACCAAGAGATGGTCACAAAAAAATGTCAGGAGCCACTAGATTCAGATTAACTCCTTACCCTTTTACTTACATGCACAAAAACAAAAAAATGAATAAACAAAACACTTTTTGTTATTTAGGTCTTTTATTTTAGGTATTTTTCATTTGTAACCAAAAGAGTCCTGAATAGTAGAGTATCACTATGAAGCACTATGCCCTTCATTCCCATAATGAAATGATAATAATATTTGAAAACTGTATATCAAGAAATCACCATCTGGGGCACCTGGGTGGCTCAGTGGATTAAGCCTCCGCCTTTGGCTCAGGTCATGATCTCAGAGTCCTGGGATCGAGACCTGCACCAGGTTCTCTGTCCAGAGGGGAGCCTGCTTCCCCCCTCTCTCTCTGCCTGCCTTTCTGCCTCCTTGTGATCTCTCTGTCAAATAAATAAATAAATAAAAATCTTAAAAAAAAAAAAAGAAAGAAATCACCATCTAGCATACCTTGACTGTTTGAATCAGCAACATGCGGTAATTTGGAGAAAACATCATATGTACCACAGGCTCTTCAATCTCTAGAAAATCCTCTACTTTGTAAGTTAAATCTTTAATAATAAAAGAATACACAAAGCCATCCTAGAGACCAAAAACAATGATATAAACAAAGAAAATCAGTCTCAGTCAATGCAGAGTATAATTTCCATATCAAATGAGCTAAGACTTATTGACTACCATCCATAGTTTATTTTTAGAATCATCATCAATGTTTACATTATCTAGAATGCCTGGTCTTATCTCTATTAGGCAACTTTTAACCACCCTTCCTGGCCAAGTTTCCATTTTATCTCTTCTGTGACACAAAATTTTGTGACTAAAATTTATGGATCTCTCCTTTCTTTGAACTTCTCTAACATTTATCTTTTAATCCCCAAGTAATGTCTTTAATAAAGTTAGAATTTTTTTTATTAGTTTCAAAGGTAGAATTTAGTGATTCATCAGTTGCATATAACACCTGGTGCTCATTTACCTCAAGTGCTCTCCTTAATGCCCATTACCCAAGTATCACTTTTCCCCCACCAACCTCCTCTCCAGCAACCCTCAGTTTGTTTTCCTAGAGTTCAGTGTCTCTTATGGTTTGCCTTCTTCTCCATTTTCATCTTTTCTTTCCCTTCCCCATGTTCATCTATTTTGTTTCTTAAATTCCACATAAAAGTGAAATCATATGGTATTTGTCATTCTCTAATTTTGCTTAGCATAATGCCCTCTAGTTCCATCCACCTAGCATCTATCTTTTTACCACTTTCTTCATTATACAGGAGGTAGGGCAAATGAAGCAGTTCATTATGTGGCTTGTATATAGCAGTCTCCTTACTTCAAGGAATACTAGCCTTAATGTAATATATATATATATATTAATTTTAATTTTAATTTTTTAAAATTTTTTAAATTTATTTTCAGTGTAACAGTATTCATTGTTTTTGCACCACACCCAGTGCTCCATGCAATCCATGCCCTCTCCAATACACCACCTGGTTCGCCCAACCTCCCACCCCCCGCCCCTTCAAAACCCTCAAATTGTTTTTCAGAGTCCATAGTCTCTCATGGTTCACCTCCCCTTCCAATTTCCCTCAACTCCTTCTCCTCTCTAACTCCCCTTGTCCTCCATGCTATTTGTTATGCTCCACAAATAAGTGAAACCATATGATAATTGACTCTCTCTGCTTGACTTATTTCACTCAGCATAATCTCTTCCAGTCCTGTCCATGTTGCTACAAAAGTTGGGTATTCATCCTTTCTGATGGAGGCATAATACTCCATAGTGTATATGGACCGCATCTTCCTTATCCATTCGTCTGTTGAAGGGCATCTTGGTTCTTTCCACAGTTTGGCGACCGTGGCCATTGCTGCTATAAACATTGGGGTACAGATGGCCCTTCTTTTCACTACATCTGTATCTTTGGGGTAAATACCCAGTAGTGCAATTGCAGGGCCCTAGGGAAGCTCTGTTTTTAATTTCTTGAGGAATCTCCACACTGTTCTCCAAAGTGGCTGCACCAACTTGCATTCCCACCAACAATGTAAGAGGGTTCCCCTTTCTCCACATCCCCTCCAACACATGTTGTTTCCTGTCTTGCTAATTTTGGCCATTCTAACTGGTGTAAGGTGGTATCTCAATGTGGTTTTAATTTGAATCTCCCTGATGGGTAGTGATGATGAACATTTTTTCTTGTGTCTGATAGCCATTTGTATGTCTTCATTGGAGAAGTGTCTGTTCATATCTTCTGCCCATTTTTTTTATATGATTGTCTGTTTTGTGTGTGTTGAGTTTGAGGAGTTCTTTATAGATCCTGGATATCAACCTTTTGTCTGTACTGTCATTTGCAAATGTCTTTTCCCATTCCGTGGGTTGCCTCTTTGTTTTGTTGACTGTTTCCTTTGCTGTGCAGAAGCTTTTTTTTTTTTTTTAAAGATTTTATTTATTTATTTGACAGATGGAGATCACAAGTAGGGAGAAACAGGCAGAGAGAGAGGAGGAAGCAGGCTCCCTGCTGAGCAGAGAGCCTGATGCGGGGCTCGATCCCAGGACCCTGGGATCATGACCTGAGTGGAAGGCAGAGGCTTTAACCCACTGAGCCACCCAGGTGCCCCTGTGCAGAAGCTTTTAATGTATATTATTTAATCATTATTATATGCATTTCTTTTCTCCCTAAATGACCCAAAGGTAGGGAGTGTGCTGTTTATTCCTTTTATATCCTCCTTTTGTATTTCTTTAATAATACTAGAAGGAGGGCAAGTATCTAGTAAAAATCAGCTGGTTGGCCATAAACAAATTTAGACTCATTTAACTATTCTCAAGAGGAATTTGAATAGTTTTCACAGTAGTGAAGAAGCTTTGGACAAATTAATCCATCATTTCTAGATTGGATCCCACTATAACTAAAGTATATGCATTAATGAGATGGCTGGGTTCACATACTTGGGACCTGGGGGATAAAACATGCAAGGTGCTTTCTCCAAACTCATCATCATTCTCCATTTCTTATGGAGTAGATGCTCAAACCATTCCTTTAAACTAGTTGTTTGGGTTTTTAAAATTTTATTATTTATTATATATTTATTATAATATTTTATATTTATAATTATTGTAAATTATAATTATTTTATTTCTAATTTGATTAATTTAATTCATTCATTTAATAATTATTTTATTTTTATTTTATTAAATAATTTATTTAATAATAAAATTAACTAATCAATATAATTTATTTTAATTTAAATTATAATGGTATATAATTATTATAATTATAAAATTAAAAAATAATTTTGTTATAATTTATTATTCATTTATTAATTTAATTTTAATTTTTAAAGATTATTTATTTATTTGTTTGACAGAGAGAGATCACAAGAAGGCAGAGAGGAAGGCAGAGAGAGGGGGAAGCCAGATCCCTGCTGAGCAGAGAGCCTGATGTGGGGCTTGATCCTAGGACCCTGGAATCATGACCTGAGCTGAAGGCAGAGGCTTAACCCACTGAGCCACCCAGGTACCCCATTAATTTTATTTTTTAAGTAATCTCTACCCTCAATGTGGGGCTCGAACTCACAACCCCAATGCAAGAGTCACATGCTCTACTGACTGAGTCAGTAGAGCGTCCCTAAACTAGGTTTGAAAAAATGTTAAGGGTGAGGGGCACCTGGGTGGCTCAGTTGGTTTAGCGCCTGACTCTTGATTTTAGCTCAGGTCATGGTCTCAGGGTCATAAGATGGAGCCCTGTGTTGGGTTCTGTGGTGAGCATACAGCCTGCTTAAGATTCTCTCTCTCCTTCTCCCCTCTGCCCCTCCCTGCGGCTCTGTCTCTGAAAAAATAAATAAATAAATAAATACATGAAAATAAAAGTAAAAAATGCCAAGGGTGGCTTTGAGAAGGACAAGAGTCATAAAAGGCCATAAATGCAAACTAAATGTAGGAAGTATGGTGGCAGTGTGTGTGTGTGGGGGGGGGGCAAGATGATGGTCTGTTGCAAGATTGCAGGGTAGGGGGATGGATTACCAGCTGACAGTAGGTCTTGGGACATCTACAAGTAGACCTGAGATTTTAGTGTAGGTGAGATCCAAACCTTAGCATTGCTATAATACCATGTAAAAGCATTGTAGTCTGACCCCTTTTCATACTTAACTGAGACTGTAGGCTCTAATAAATGAGAGCAAAGACTTTGGAGTTTACACATCTGGGTTCAAGCCTCAGCGACTCCATTTACTGGATGGTGAACTCTGTAAGGTTTGGCTCCTTCCTCCGTATAAGGAAGATGTCAATATTCCTACTGATAGTGTCATTATGAGAACTGATAAGATAATAAAAGCAAAGCACCTAGCATGGTGCCTGGTACAAAGTAAGGACTAAATAAATGAAGGCCATTAATGCTAATTCTAGTATGAACAATAACAGTATAATATAGGTAAGCTAAATGAGTATGCACAAGCGGTTAAGTGAAGCTTAGACAAAAGGTTCTATTTGTGTCTGACAACCTAATATATTAAGTGTACAAACAGGCATGAAGTTGGGTGTTCTGTGGGACCCAGAGTTTTTAATTCTATTTTTGATTTTTTGCAATTGTCTAGATATATGGCAGTCCATTATACTGTTCTTTCTTTTATATACATTTGAGAAATTCTTCATATGAAAAGTTTTATAATAGTATCCAAAAAGAAAACAATTAATAAGCTGACAGAACCTGACATCCAAATTGTGACACATAATAGTAAGTAGCAGCAAATGGAAATTGTATATATTCTTTAAAGCAATTAATTTTGAAGACAAAAATACATTACAATTCCAGAAATCAGCATGCCTCCCTTCTGATATACCATGGTGACTGGACTGATAAGATTTCTTCCCTCTTTTGGAAAAGAAAAATAAGGTAAAACAGGTGACACATAATTAAAAGTGCAATACAAAGTAATTAATCTCTTTGCTTTCCTAGGACTATTCATTTCTTTGTAACACTTTCCAAAAATCAACTTCCTATCAGAATATGTGCTATCAAAAAAAAAAAAAAGAATATGTGCTATCATGCCTTCCAAACAATGAATAATAAAACTGTTTGGCATTGATTACTAATGTAAATCACATGAGTTTTTTAAAGTTCTGTATCATCAGATCCATGTAACTAACATTACAGAATTATATAGCTAATATATTTTCTTATTTTAGGAAAGCATTGTCAGAGATTTTAAGATGCCAGGAAAAAATAAATTAAACCAAACCTAACTTGTTGTCAAGCTGCATACTTAAGATTTATACATTTTATGTATGTAAATTCCAACCTCAGTAAATAAATAAAAATGGATAAAAAGAAAGTAAAAAGAAAAAATGTTCTACAAGAATAATCATTATTAATAAAATATTGTCCTTGGGGAAAAAGAACAAAAGCGTAATAACTTTTATGTAGATAAACCATAAGAACTATAAGATCAAAAGCTCAGAGGGCATCCATCAAATTATTTGCTTACTATATACTACGTGCTTGGCATTTTGCCAGATGCTCAGAAGCATATTGTCCTTTCCTTCAAAGACTATTCACCTCCCAGAAGTTCCTTCCTTTCCAATCCAAGTACCACTAGAGTCCAGGTTATATGACTCAAGGGCTAGTCTAGGTGCCTGATGCTTATAGCCACCTGCTTCTAGGGTCATCCTTTCTTGAATGATGGCTAAACTAATCTGCCCATACACAATTCCATTTGGGGTACAAGTCCATTCAGGAGTTTTTTTATGTCTGCCCACTGACAGCTGAATTGAGTATAAACATCTGAGCTGGACATTCAAGGTCAGACATGTTATATATGTCCCTTTGTTTCCCACTACCCTATGTAACACTCAATGCTCCAGACAGACTGTCTCAACCTTCCCCAGTTTTTCTTGTCTCTGCAGACACCATTGACTGAAAATCTACCTACCCTCATCTGCCTGTGAACCCATCCTGCAAGGGCCATTTCAAATGCCATCTTCAAAATGACTTAACCTGGCCTGTTTCCCTTATTTGAATTCCCACAGAACTTTGTTCAGTTTCCCTTGAATAAAATGAATAAAATGGCTATAACTATCTACTTGTTTAATTCTCTTTAATAAAAATAAATCCCTCGAGGGTGAAAATTAGAAGATCACGTATTTGCCATTTATGTCACCTCTGAGGAACCTTGATTAGTGTCTTCCACATTGTAGAGGTTAGACAAATAATTACACTGAAGCATTTATAATGTACCATGAAAATTATTAGGAATGGTATAGAAGAAGGAAATAGTAAACAATATAAGACTATACATGAATAAGTCCTAAATTGTATATAATATACTACAGATGTGACAGCAGCTTGGAAATGAGAAACATTGCTTTAGAATTCATTTTACAAAAGACATATAGGCACTAATTTACTCTGTAGCAGTCTCTGGGATTAAACTGTGGAGCCCAATGTATAAATGTAAGACAGTTCTTAACTTCAAAGAATTAATACCTGGTGGGAAAGACAGACATGCACACAAGAAATTGTGACAGCACAGGCTGAGGCCGTAAGAAGGAAGTGAGTCTAACGGAATCCCACACAGTGGCACCGAAATTTGCCCTAAGGTTAGGATGGCACTGTGGATGCAAGATTAGAGAGAACTTAGCCTGGAGGGTACAAGTGACAGTAAAGTGAAGCCATGGAGGGGGCAGGAAAGTCAAACCTAATGGCCCCATTGAAGTCAGAACCAGGGAATGGGAGCAGGAGTAGATGAGGGGCACTGTCCTGGAGAAAACTTGCTGTAGGAGGTGGCATTGAGGTAGAAGCATAAGGATTCAGAGAGAAAACTGGCAAGGGAGTGAGCTAGGAGGCAGGTCTGTGAAATGACAAGAAGAAATGACTGGCTAGATCAGAAAACTCATCCTGGGGAGTAGAAAGAATATGAATGGAGCAGGTAGGAACAAATTAGAGAGGGCTTGGAATCAAGGCAGAGCACTGCTTGAATTGCATGTTAAAATGGTCTTTAAGAAGTACACTTTGGCAGGGATGAGATGCCTGTTTTGGGTTAGCTATAGATTAAGGCCAATGAAGTCAGTCCTAAGGTTGGTGCAGAAATCAAATTATGAAATAATAAAGGAACCGGAATGGAGAGGGCATTGGACAGATTGGGGAGCTCGCCCTGCAAGGTTTCCTTCTCAAAAGGTCTACACCTAAGCCCTACTGAGTGGACATTAGCTTCTGTGACTAAGGCCCAACCCTGGCCACAGCTGATGGGACCAGGAATGGACACCAGATCTAAGGAGAATAGATCAAACTCTAACCATGTTTCTAACCAAGGAACAGGGAGGTAATTTTCAAGATGGCAGTTAAAAAAAAGTCATTGTGAAAAACGGCCCTGAGAAAGGTGGAGGGCAGGAAAGGGCATAATTTGCCGACTAAACAGAACAGGCTTATGGATGGGAAACGATACAGCATAGGAGCTAAGAACTCGGACTCTGAAGTCTTACTGCCTGGGTTTAGGAGTCAGCTTTACAGTTTACTAGTTATGTGAATTTGTGCATTTTTCTTATTCTCTCAGTGCATCCATTTTTTTCACCTGTCTCATGGAAATGAAAACATATCTCTCTATAAAGTGTTTTGAGGATTACATGAAATATACATACAGAGTACAGCAGAATGCCTAGAGCATAGAACAGTCAATAAGCACTAGCTATGAGGAACAGCCACAGGACTTGGTAATGAACTGTGGGATAGAGGAAAGAAAGAATCAAAGATGGCTCTAAGAAGGAGAAAAATAGGGAACAAAGAGCCATCTTCAAATGTAGAATGATCACCAGTGGCTACACTTCTAGGAATAATGAAGTAAAGCAGTTTCTCACCCTTTGGTACTGTGTCTTCTACCTTATTAAGTAAAGTCACCTTCAAGGTTTCTCCATTAATCATTAAAAGATGACCCTCTTCACAGCCAACATATATTTCACTTGTTGGAGTCCAGCAATGCATAGATGGGTGAAGCAAAGGATATAGATCATCTTTAGGCTTCAGAGAAAGATAAGAAACCTTGTGTTAAGACAGCATGCATGGTTTAAGAGCCAGAGAAATACTTAAGAGAATAACTTCCAAAAAGAAACAAATGAATATGGACCTATATACATTCATTGGTCCTGCCATTTGCCAAGATCTAAGTGAGCTTATCCTTCCTTGCTCCATTTATCTCTCTATATTTTAACTCAGTAAGAATATATGAGATAGTCTTGTCAGCACATTTGGAGTTCTAGTGCCACAGATTTTCATGAAAATTCTGAGTAGCAACATCTACAATGTTTCTTGGTAGAGTTTTTTGGTATCTTGAATCTAAGGAAGTCATTGTCTAGCTAAAATCACCCTTTTTTTGAGGAAGATTTTTGTCAACATTTCACCCTCCTGATTCTGCGCGGCGGTGGGGGGGGGGGATGGATATGATTTTTCTTGAGTGGTTATGGAGAGGTTATGGAGAGGTACTAGATCCTTTGGTTAGCTTTTATGGGAAATGAGAAGAGGACACTCTCCTGATTCTGGTGGCCCTTCTAACAGGGTTCATGAAACATCCTCTGTGATTTTGATATCATGGAAAACTCAAAGAGAAATGCACAAAATCTATGCAATGTACCTCAAAGAAGTTGGCTTTGGGGAGTAAAAATAACATAGACAAGGATCTAAAGCAAACTTTTCCTGTAAAGGAAAAGGCAGTGAATATTTTAGGCTTTGTGGACCACATAGGTCTCTGTCACATATCCCTATTATATTTTTAAACACCTCTGTAAAAAGTGTACAAGAACATTCTTAGCTTGGGGCCAAACAAAAGCCTGTCATGGTTTGTTGATCTCAGCCTTAGACTGTAATACTTCAGTGGTACGTCCCCTGCAGCCTGAAATACTCATGTCTTGCAGGGGAGGACCCCCTTTTGTCAGCATGGAGCGGGTCTCCTTTTAAGTATAGGCCTACCTGTTCTCCTTCCTGGAGGTCAAGGCAGCTGTAGGAGATTTTTAGGGCATTTGCTCCCCACAGCACTGATTGAAATTCTGAATTCAGGATATCATAATAATAGCACTTCTTCCTTTTTAGTTAAACAAGTCAGATGTACTAGTTTACTTATTTTATATTGAGAACATAGCATTTAGAACCATCTGAGCTTTTTGTTATGCTATAGCATTATTTCAAATTACCTTAGCTATGACATAATGCTTTGCTTTCTTTAGGATCCTTACACCCACTGGAACAGAGAACATCTTTAATAAGCTATTGGCCAAATTAACAGAATTTTTAAGTTCCCTGAGAGCTCCATGTTTATTGCATTCTTTTGTTGACCTTTTCATTCACCTAACAAATACTTATTGGACACTTACTACATTCTAGGGACTGTTCTAGGCACAGGGATGTAGCAGTGAACAAAACAGACCAAAAAAAAAAAAAAAAAAAAAAAAAAGATCCCTGCCCTTATGGGGCTTATATCCTGGTGAGGGCAAACAGAATAAAAATAAGTTAAGAAGTTAAATATAGGGATGCCTGAGTGGCTCAATCATTAAGCATCAACCTTCAGCTCAGGTCATGAACCAAGGTCCTGGGATCAAGCCCTGCATCCAGCCCCTGGTCTGTAGCGAGCCTGCTTCTCCCTCTCCTACTCCCCCGGCTTGTGTTCCCTCTCTCCCTGCGTCTCTGTCAAATAAATAAATAAAATCTTAAAAAAAAAAAGAAGTTAAATATATAGAAGATCATATGCTGAAAATCACTATGGAGAAAAATAAACCAGAAGTTGGGAAATACTGCAAATCTATATAAACAGTCATTTTTCCATTAAAAACTCCTCAATATATGCAAGCCATCTTTCTAATAAATACTTAATTATTTGAATAATGTATTATATACTATTCATTTAGGACTGGTTTGTAGATTCAAGGTAAAGCAGGTATGGTGCTGCCAAAGTAACCATTTCTACTAGATTCTCAGCAAATATAAACTTGTTATGTAACTGATATTTAAACAAATATTTATTGGATGTTGGTTATATATCAGGCATTGTGCTAAGTCTTAAGCGATCCCTCTTCTCAATAGGATAATCACTTGTTGAGGGAAGAAGAAGTATGAACAAATATCAGAATCAGAAAACATGGTAGATCATAGAAGAGGGGTGTTAAATATTATGGGAGCATTGATGAGAAAGCACTTGGTTCTTGGTGGAGTGAAGGAAGGGTGGAGAGAGAATTACCATTTGGAATGGACCCTGAAATATGACTAAGGCAAAAATCATACACAGCAGCCATCGCCATGGTAATTCTTTTAAAGGATATATTGACTTTGGTCAATGATTGACATACTTCACGCCCTGGTAGTCTTGGATTGTTAGAAAACAAATACTTGATTAATAATCTGGCCACCCTATGGGCCAAGAAAGGGGGGGCAAAACAACCCAAGAGGATTAAACTACTGCTGATTAATAACATTTTTGTGGTATCTAATTGAGATTTGACTCACAGGGAAGTTACTCACTGGATGCCATTATTTAAAAGTTTCTTGGGTTGTCTTGATGATATCTAACCTTAGACTATATATCACAAGGGGACAGATTCTTACATTATGGCAACGGATTCAAAAATCTTTTTAAAAACACACATATCTGGTTCTCACACCAGTGGACCTATGTGTATGCAACCGAAGGTGAAGATTTAAAATTTGGACTTTTCTGGCTATATAATGTTAAACTGGTATTGTGTTTGACTTTTCTTACTTTAAGATAAACATGGGCTTATCTTTCTATTAGTCTCTTTCATCAATAAATATGTTCTGGGCTATTTAAAAATGAAAGTGATACAATATGGATTATGTGAGCAGAAACAATAATTTTTAATTCTAAAAATTCTAAAACTTTTAAAAGAAAAATGTGCCAAGAGTATTTAAACATATTTGTTGATAACACCACACCTTGCTTAGCTCTCTGGACTCATAAATCAAAACATTTTGATCACTTGAAGACTGAACATGAAAAATTAGAATCCAATTTAATATTATTGCTTTAAAAAAATGTAAGTATCCAAATATGCTTCAGCATATTCCAGTTTATAAAAGAAATTCCTATTTAGTGATTTCTGTTAAAAAACAAAAAGGTAGATGGAAAAAGAAAACCGTACACTTGAGATCAAATTCATTATCTTGGATCTAGTTTTTCCCCAGATAACATCTGCCTTTGATTTCCCTCATGCTACTGCTAGATACTGTTTCTCTTGCCTTAAATAAGTTGTATAATGTGATGCAGGCCTATTTAAAGGCGTATAATGTGCCTTTATAGTGTTAGCTGAGAGAGACATAATGGGAGTATTTAATGTTTGTAATCTTGTGAAAGTCCACAGCCTGTCAATTTTTAAGACTCTTATATGCATTAGTTTATTACTGATTTCTTTGCCATTCATCGATACCCAGGTCACAAGAAATGTCATTCAAAGGAACAGAATCAAGACATTTGAGATCTATTTTTGGTTATGCTTTCACTAATCAGTACAGACTTTTGGTTATGCTTTCACTAATCAGTACAGACACTAATCAGTATTTTAGCCATTTTTCTCACCTTACTTATCTACAAGGTGAAAAATAAATATTGGAAAAATTAATTTCTAATGTAAATGTAAACTATATGCCTTTATTAACATTCCCCATGTGATTTTAAAATGTAGAACTTTAGCATTAAATTTCTGTTTTCAGAAAAAGTTTAAAATGCACTGAGTACCAAAAATCCTAGGAAACAAAGATGTCTGTTTATTATGAGCATTTAAAAAATGGTTACTCCACATTTAAGTATTTAAGAAAGGCATTTCATAGCATTTTTCAAATGACAAAGACGGATGACTGAATTTTACATATTTTAGGTGGGGTTCATCCTGTTGTGCAAAATGTGAAAGATGAGGGCGCCTACAGAAATTTATAGCAGAAGAAAAGATTTTAGATAGTTGAAAATGTGGGTTCCTAGGCATCAAATACGAAACATAGAAGCATTTTTTTCAAGTTGTAAACCTTGATGGCTGATCTATTTGTATTCACTTTGCTGCCCCATTGTGGCTGAGTTTGGTTGTATTTCTAAGGCTGCAATTTGTGCTATTAAAAGGAATCAGTCATTTTCTGTATTAAAAAAGTGAACAATGATCATCCTTTAGAGCTTTAGAGGAAATACTAAGAGCATACACAACCTAATCTCTTGCCTCTCAGAAATTTTAAACAAATTAATTACAACACTGAGTTATTTTTAACATTTATGGCTTAATTCTCTGCAGTGGCCAAAATATTTGGGAGCTTCTACTTCCTTTATCCTTGGCTTAGAGTTTTAACACAAATATTAGTGTAACATAAGTTCAAGAGGCTTAGCAGAATCAAGCTCCTGTTTCCCAAAGGACCTTCATGTGCTATCTCTGCTCCCTGCCTACCCCTTGCCCTGCACCTGCACCCCACTCCACCTCATTTACTTTGCTGCAGCCCCCACAGGTTTTCTTAGCTCCTCAAACCTACAGATTTATTTTCTTTCCCTCAGGACCTTTGCACATACAGCACCCTCTGCCTGACCACTCTTGACCTGTTTGCAGCACTGAGCTTCCTTGTCCTTTAAATCTTGATAAATATGTTGAATGAATGAGTGTATAGCTGTTAATAAACTCCCGCTGAAACTTTCTTCCACTATTTTCCAAGGTATTCTTCTCTCCTGGATTTTTTCCTACTTGTGTGTTCCTTATCAGAGCTGTCTTCTAACTCTCGATTCTTGGCAAATCAGTTTCCTCTTTGGCTCTCTCCCCTGACACCCTTACTCTTTTTTCTATCATCCCTCTCCCACTCCAGTGCTCCACTAATGTGGTAATGATTCTGCTGGCGTCAGAGTCTCCAGTCCTACCTTCTCCATCCCAGCAATAGGTCTTCTTGCCCAATTTCCACCTGGCATCTATACCTGGATGCCCTCCCAGCACCCCAAATTCAATATGTCTAAAACTGAAATCAGGTCTGGGCCCCTTCTTTCTGTTATCAGTGCCATTCTTCCAGTTAACCAAACTCAAAACTTCAAAGCCCTCATTTCTTATCATCGCCAGGGCTAATCTGTATTGAAAACCAGGATGATCCTCTCTATCCTGCATGTCTCATGGGATGGTTATGAGAATCAAATAAGCAAACAGGAAGAGGTGCCAGGTAATTACCCTGAAAGTTTCTGCCTCTTCTCCTACTAGCCCAGCAATGGCTGACAGTGGGAGCACAGGTCCATAGATAAGATCCTTGGGCAATGAGGTGGGGAAAATTACATCGGTTTCATTACAAAATGACCCATCTTCCGTAGGAAGTCTTACTGACCTTTAAAAAAAGAGAAATCAGAATAATCAGATTAACAAAAACAAGTCACTGATGTAACTACTACATATTGGTGATAAACAAGGTGGGGAGGTATTAAAACTTATTAAAAACAAGCAAACAAACCAGATAAACACCAAAGAATAGATATAAAAAATATTTATCACAAAAGGATAATAGTGCAGTTATAAATTAAGTACATAGGAATTTTCCAAAATTTTCAAAGTTAAAATCTAAAGCAGGAATTACACATTTGAACACTGGCAGGACCAGGCAAATGAGCTGTGGCCAGGTGGGGGACTGTGGCAAATGGGAAAGTACGTTCCCTCCTAAAGGTGGTATAGGTACCACTCAGTTCCAACTAAGAGGGTTTGTTGAAAATTCTGGTTCTAAAATTTCAAGAAACTATCATAATCTGGATATTCATGAGAAATCTCTCAAATATTAAAATTTGCAATTAGTTCAAATAAAAATCAATGTGAGCCAAAATAAACATATAGATCTTTCTAGGTTTATGATGGGGTTATGTCCCAATAAACCCAACATAAGTTGAAAATATCCTAAGTCAAATTGCATTTAATACCCCTAATCTACTAAACATGAACATCATGGCTTAGCCTGGCCTGTCGTAAATGTGCTCAGAACACTTACCTTACTTGGCAAACCACTTTAGTTGCCGACTCACAGTTGGGCAAAATCATCTAACACAAAGCCTATTTTATTATAAAGTGGTGACCCCCTCAAGTAACTGATTGAACACTATAATGAAGGTAGAGAATGGTCGTCAGTGCGCAGACTGTTTACCCTCCTGACCATGTGTCTGACTGGAAGCTGTGGCGGCCACCGCTCAGCATCACCAGAGAGTACTGTAACACATATCTTTAGCCTGGGAAAAGGTCAAAATTCAAAATTTGAAGGACAGTTTCTACTGAATGTGCATCACTTTGGCATCACCCTAAAGTCAAAAAATCTTAAGTGGAACCATCCTAAGTCAAAGATCATCTATATATGTAGGTTGTATTCAGCTATCTTTGCAACCTCTGTTATCAAGAATTCATTTTCTGGGCCACCTGGATGGTACAGTTAAGCATCCAGTTCTTGGTTTTGGCACAGGTCCTGATCTCAGGGTTGAGAGATCGAGCCCTGAGTCTGGTGTTGTGCTCAGTGTGGAGTCTGCTTAAGACACTCTTCTTCTGCCTACCTCCCCATTCTATCTCCCTATCTCTCTCAAACAAATAAATCTTTAAAAAAAAAAAAAAGAATCCATTTTCAAATCTACCATATGTCTACTTTAACTCATAACTACTTTTAACTTTTAACTCATAATATGGTTATAAAGGGGTGTTTGAAAAATTCATGGCTTTATGCATTAAATTAAAAATTTCTTTGGTTATATCTTATGTATGATAAATAATTTTGAAAAATTATCATGTAAAAGCAGATTCTATTATTCAAATTAAGGCTTGAGTGTTTTCTAATCCTGCTTGCTTTCTGAACAAGGACACTTACGTTGCCTCTCACTTCAGTTGCTTATAGAAAAATCACAACTCATCATTCAGAACTAGAGGAGAATATTCAAGGCAAGCAAAAGGAGAGAATGCCAAGATAAATTATTTGCCCACCTGACAAGGATATGATAGAGACATTGCCCATTTTATCAATGTCTCTGCCTAGAGACAGATTTGACTACTCGCTGGGTTCTTATAAAAAATAAATTGAGGGACGCCTGGGTGGCTCAGTTGGTTGAGCAGCTGCCTTCGGCTCAGGTCATGATCCCAGCGTCCTGGGATCGAGTCCCACATCGGGCTCCTTGCTCATCAGGGAGCCTGCTTCTCCCTCTGCCTCTGCCTGCCATTCTGTCTGCCTGTGCTTGCTCTCTCTCCCTCTCTCTCTGTGACAAATAAAATCTTAAAAAAAATAAATAAATAAAAAATAAATAAATAAATAAATAAATTGAGACACAAAGAGTACTGAACACAAAGACGTGTCTTTTTTAGGGCTCTCCAGTTAAACAACTTTACATTTTTCTTAAGAAGGCAACTTTTCAAAAATTGCAATTTCAAGAATATACATAACCAATATCAACTTAGTCTTTAACATGGTGGAATACATTGGGAATAGTAAGTTTAGAGGCACCTTGAGTCTTTGAACTCTCCTTAACAAACACACCATTATCATCAATCACCATGGCACTGGTCATAAATTTTCTTTTTGACCCAGTGCTATTTAAACAGGTAACTCCCAGGACTCCACCATATGCAACTACCCTCTGTTTATAGATTATGTGGCTGAAGGAATAATATATGCTTTCCTTATCTAAAAGTTTATTTTTGAGATTACAACTGGGCATCAAAGTAATAGGATCAAAATTCATAACTGCCCTTTTTATAAATAGGCATGTTTTGAAATACCAAAAGTGAATAAAATTCTGGCAAACTAGACCAGGTTGGGAAAAGCTTGAGAATGCCTTGAGATTTCAAAGAAACTCATTAAGAAATCAAGTCATAAAGAATCCTTGCAAAAAGCAAACCACTCCATAATTATATATGTAGAAAGATGTTATAACTTAAGATGTTTAATATGTACATATAAAGCCAGTTAATTCATCAAATTGATGCAATAACATTACATGAAAGCAAACTAAGATCTCCACTTTGCTCTGTAATAACTAAGTCTCTTACTTCGCTTTGAGATGATGCTCCTCGTTACATCTTTCAATGGTCCACACAGTCACTGCACTTGGACTTGATAAGCACAGCTGGCGCCAGTTCATAGGGTTAAAAGTCATCTGGCTTACATCCACACCAGGTTGTGACTTCTTGCACAAAATGACACCTGCTTCCCAGTTCCTTAGAGGGAAATGTTGTTTTGTAAAAAAATAATTCATTTGAATTTCACATCTTGAGAACATTTATCTAATTATTTGAAAACAATCTTAATTCACAATACAATTTATTTAATCCATGGTGTTCAATATAAAATTTATTAATGATTATGCTTATCATTATACTGTACCTAAGAAAGCAAAATATCTATGTGTTTTAAAAATATTACTTTGTCTCAACTAATCTTTGACAAAGCAGGAAAGACTATCCAATGGAAAAAGACAGTCCCTTCAACAAATGGTGTTGGGAAAATTGGATAGCCACATGCAAAAGAATGAACCTGAACCATTTCCTTACACCATACATAAAAATAGACTCAAAATGGATGGAAGACCTAAATGTGAGACAGGAATCCTTCAAAATCCCACAGGAGAACACAGGCAGCAATCTCTTTGACCTTGGCCACAGAAACTTCTTGCTAGACATGTCTCCAAAGGCAAGGGAAACAAAGGCAAAGATGAACTATTGGAACTACATCAAGATAAAAAGCTTTTCCACAGCAAAGGAAATAGTTGACAAAACCAAAGACAACTGAGAGGATGAGGGAAGATATCTGCAAATGTCTTATCAGGTAAAGGGCTAGTATCCATGACCTATAAAGAATTTATCAAACTCAACACCCAAAGAACAAATAATTCAATCAAGAAATGGGCAGAAGACATGAACAGATCTTTCTTCAAAGAAAACACACAACCAACAAACACATGAAAACATGCTCAACCTCACTCAGCATCAGGGAAATATAAATCAAGAGCACAATGAGATACCACTTCACACTGGTCAGAATGGCTAAAAATAACAATTCAGGAAACAGGTGTTGGTGAGGATGTGGAGAAAGGGGAACCCTCTTACACTGCTGGTGGGAATGCAAACTTGTGCAGGCACTCTGAAAAACAATATGGCGCTTCCTTAGGAAGTTAAAAATAGAACTACCCTATAACCCAGCAATTGCAACTTCTAGGTATTTGCCTCTCACAGCTAATCTCTGGTTGTCATCATTATGATCTCTTAATTAAATCTTCAAATCTGCCATTTCTTTTCTCTGACCTCATGGCATTTGCACATACCTTTTCTCTGCTTAGAATCTTCTTAGGTTGGTTCCCACCCATCCTTCGGGTACTGTTATAGGTTGAATTGTGTCCCCCCCAGATTTATATGCTGATGTCCTAACCCTCAGTACCTCAGAATGTGACTGTAATAGGGTCTTTACTAAGTTAAATGAGGTCATTTAGTGTGGTCCTACTACAGTAGGTGAGCATCCTTAGAGAAAGGAAAAGGGAAATATGGAGACTGACCCATATACAAGGAAAACACCATGTGAACATGAATACAGTTATTTACAAGCCAAGGAGAAAGGCCTAGAACAGATTCTTCCTCAGAGCCCTTGGAAGAAACCAACTCTGCTTACACCTTGATATTAGACTTCAAGACTCCAGAACTGTGAGACAATAAATTTCTGTTGTTTTGTCCATTCAATTTATAAGACTTTGTTAATGACAGCCCCAGCAAACTAATCTATCCATCAGTAGGTGAGTGGGTAAATAAACTGTGGTATATTCATTCCATGAATAGGAAGGCATGAACTATTGATACATATAGCAGCATAAGAGAATTTCAAAATAATTATGTTACATGAAGAAAGTAATTATGCAGCATAAAAGACAGACCCCCCAAAAAAAAAAAGTCCATAATGGATGACTCCATGTATATAACATTCCAGAAAATGCAAACAAATCCAGAGTGATAGAAAATACAATGGCTACTTGGAGGCAGGGGCTGAGGTATGGGGCAGGAATTGTGTGGAAGGGCCAATAAGGAAGGATCAGAAAGGGACACAAGGAAACTTTGGAGTGACAGATATATTTATTATCTTGATTATGGTGACGGTTTCATGGGTGTGTACACAAGTCAAAACTTACCAAATGATATTCTTTATATATGAGCAGTTTTTAAATATGTCAGTTATACCTTGAGGAAGCTGTTTTTTAGAAAAGAAACTGCATAAACTGAATATGGTTCTCTGAACCTAGATTATTATATTTTTGGATAAGAAATGCAGGTGTGTAAAGTATATCCTCAATCATTCCCAAAATGGTTTGTACATCCCCTTAAAAGAAAAACTATCCGTCCCAAAGGAGTTTATATTATAGACAGAAGAGTGAGTACAGCTTTGAGGTTGGCCCTATGAAATGACCCAGCAAAGACCACAGATGTGTCTTATCCACAGGTATTTCCTATGCAGCTGGCAAATGTGGTATAATGTTCCACTCTCTGAACATATAACTGTTCTAAAGTCTCTAAAAACAATTACTTCCAATTTAGCTCTAATAGAGAATACAGCTTAATTTCATCATTAGTAGAAAACAGGCAAACCACTCAAAGCTACCATTTATTTGAAGGAAAGATGAAACTTTATGCCTTTATTATTCTTTACCCAACAAAGGAAACATTATAACACATCAACAAAAAGATGATAATTTATTCTCATATAGCTTTTGCCCTGCCAAATTTTATGCCTCAAAGTTGCAACGTTATTCAACCTTCTGAACAGAACTTCTATTCCTTCCACTTTTTTCCCTCGTTCCAGATTTTTCACATCTATGTCTTTTTTTTTTTTTTTTTTTTTAGAGAGAGAGAGCGAGAGAGCGAGAGAGAGCACAAGCACAGGCAGACAGAATGGCAGGCAGAGGCAGAGGGAGAAGCAGGCTCCCTGATGAGCAAGGAGCCCGATGTGGAACTCGATCCCAGGACGCTGGGATCATGACCTGAGCCGAAGGCAGCTGCTTAACCAACTGAGCCACCCAGGCGTTCCACATCTATGTCTTTTAATACAACCTAGAAGGACAAGACTAAAATGAAATCCAATGAAGGGAATTCTACAGCATGCTGTAACTTACCAAAGGGCCAGTTCAAATTCTGGGAGAGAGGAGTAACTAGCCAGGTAGGTGCCACAGTAACTGAATGAAAGTAAAGTGTAGTCTAGAAGAACATTGCCTAAAATATAAAATCCATTACAAGGATTTAATATAGTGTTCAGATTAACTAGTCTTATAGTTTATTTCCCTTATCTAATGGTTTTCACATAATTCAAAGGCATTTAGCTCTTGGAATAACAGATCTTCTACCTGATTTCTAAGACTATGAACAAAAACTAGGAGCAAAGTTAAGATTCTTTTTTTAAAGGCATTAGAGTTGGGGTGCCTAGCTTGCTCAGTTAGTACAGCATGTGACTCTTGATCTTGGGGTTGAGAGTTCAAGCCCCATGTTGGGCATAGAGATTATTAAAAAAAAAAAAAAGAAAAAATTTAAATATACTAAAATGAATTAAGACCATGAGGTCACTGTCTCTAGACTTTAATCAAAATTGAGCATACTGTACTGTGTATGTCCCAGATTTGAAATGACCCAAGAACAATTATGTATTCCATAAATATATGAAACATTATAATTAGAAAAGTTATTCAAACAACTTTAAATACTCTGGGGTGTTGTAATCATCCAAGCTTACTTCCTGATCTCTATACCTTGGGCCACAGCTGGCCCTTTGTTCAATATCTTCCAGTTCTGGGAACAGCTATAAAAAGTTCTTTCTCATTTGTCCTTGTAGCTGAAGACACGAAACAGAAATTTAAGCCTTCGTAACAACATGTTTAAAATGTGCATCGTGAGGATGCTTCTGCCTTCCTGCGTATGAGGATCTGATTTCCCCTCTATCTGCTGTTCTTCAGTGTGGTTCCATAGCTACCAGCTCTGTCTTCTCCCATGTCTGTCTTTTGACATTCGTGTCTCTTTTTATTCTATGTACTTTTAATGGTTGTTTCCTGCTTTTTTGCCCTTCTCACTTTAACTGACTGTAATAAAATGCTAAACTTCATCATTTATTGAATTCATTTAGCATAGTCTGATCAACATAGAAAACTTGTATTTATTGAGCATTCAGTGCAAAAATAAATATTTTTCTATGGGATAGAGGCCTCAATAGAATAATTTTCTATCCTTTCTATAGACATTTCATCTCCTGACTGAATATTATTTTTTATTTTATTATTTTCAATTCTAAAAAATACATGGTATTTGAATAAAAAAATAAATCTTTACAAGAAAATATATCCTCTGTAATCTCACTACGAAATTTGGTAAATTTCTGGTATTTTCTTCTGTGTTTACCTGTAAATATACATTTTTTCTTTAAATATAACTTTGAAAAAAATGTTGCTTTTTATAACTGTAACAGTCATGGATTAAATATTATATACAACAATTCATTTAAAAGACTTGGGTCATACAGTGTTACTCCTATTTACATTATATTGAGCATTTTATCATTAATAATTCTTCAAAAATGTGATTTCTAATGTTTATATAATGTTTATATAATACTCTTTTATGAGATATTTTAACTTATTTAACCATATTCATATTACTAGAGATGTAGAAGTTCCTAATCTTTTGCTATTATGAGTGTGCTATTAACTCCAGCACATACAAATCTTTGACTGTATTTCTGATTTCCTTAAAATTGAATTCTAGCTCCTCAGCTGAGTTTAACTGGGTCAAATATGATAATATTTACTTCCCAGGAAGATCATATCAATTATTCCCACTTTGGAGGGATGGGCTAAATGGGTGATGGGTATTAAGGAGGGCACTTGTGATGAGCACTGGGTGTTACACGTAAGTGATGAATTATTAAATTCTACTCCTGAAACCAAACTACACTGTATGTTAACTAACTTGAATTTAAATAAAAACTTGGAAGAAAAAAATTATTCCCTCCTTCAGCAAGAAAGTATGCTACCAATTTCACTGCACTCTGCCTAGCAGTAATCAGCTTTCAAAAATCATGATCTTGGGACGCCTGGGTGGCTCAGTGGGTTAAAGCCTCTGCCTTCAGCTCAGGTCATGATCTGCCCTGAATCAGGCTCTCTGCTCAGCAGGGAGCGTGCTTCCTCCTCTCTCTCTGCCTGCCTCTCTGCCTGCCTCTCTGCCTGCCTCTCTGCCTGCTTGTGATCCCTCTGTCAAATAAATAAATAAAATCTTTTAAAAAATCGTAATCTTGATAAGCAGAAAAACTTGATCTTGGCTCAAACATTAAGTTTTTAAGTAAATATTGAGAGAATATCTTTGATATTAGTTTTTTTGATATTAGAATATTTTTGATATTAGAATATTTTTGATATGTAGTTTTGTGGTTTGGGCAGTTACTTTTTCCATTGCTCTAATGGGATGTCCGGTTTTTTTCTTATTGTTTCATAAACACTCTGAAAATACTTGATCATATTTGTCCCAAATATCTTCCTCAGTTTATTTTTTGCCCATTAATTTTTCAAGGCATTTTTGAAGTTCTTAAGTTTTAAATTGACATGTAATCAGTTTTTCTATTTTTAATTTTTTCCTTTGTGTGAAAGGTTCTTCCCCATCCTGAAATCATTTCAATATCCTACCATACTTTCTGCTTCTCAAATGGGTTTGCTGTTTATATTGAACTCTTTTTTGTCTGATGTATGTTTTGATGTACAGTACAACATGAATATCCAACTTGATACTTTTGTTCAAATAATTTTTTAAAGGTTTATTTATTTATTTAAGTAATCACAACACCCACAGTGGGAATCAAACTGATGACTCCAAGATTAAGAGTCTGATGTTCCATTGACTGAGCCAGCCAGGCGCCCCTCAAATTTTTTTTTTAAAGATTGTATTTATTTATTTATTTATTTGACAGACAGAGATCACAAGTAGGCAAAGAGGCAGGCAGAGAGAGAGGGGGAAGCAGACTCCCCGCTAAGCAGAGAGAGCCTGATGCGGGGCTCCATCTCAAGACCCCGAGATCACGACCTGAGCTGAAGGCAGAGGCTTAACCCACTGAGCCACCCAAGCGCCCCCAGTTTTCTTAACATCAATGTTAAATTGTTAAATAATCTATATTATCTATTTTGGGGAGGAGGGGAAAGTATACTTAGCTTTTATATATTCAAGCCCATGCCCTGTCTTCAACTCTTCCACTGATGTGGTGATCTCTGCACCACCACCACACTTTTAATCACTATAGCATAATATTAAAAGGACCCTGTCTTACCATCATTTTCTTTTCCTGTTCTCTACTTTTTGTTCTTCTAGATGAACTTCGGTATCATTTAAGTCCACCTTGCTCTCTAAAACATGATAAACTTAGGAATTATTTTCTGTGAAGAATTATATATTAGGCTTTCCATCCAGGAATATATCTGTCTGTGTATACTTAAATATTTTAAATCAATGATATTCTTGTAGTTTTCTTCACTGAGGTCACTCACATTTCTTCCTGAATCATTTCTAAGTATTTAAATTATCTACTTGTGGGGGTATTTTGAAACCAGCATCTTAATAGCATTCTTTTATTAATCTTTGTAGACTGTTGCATTACCCACAATCTCCTTTTCCATAGCTATACTTTTTCTGTTTCATATTTTATTGCATTGGCTAGAAAGTTCAGGTTGATACTAAATAATTGTGGTAACAATAGCTATCCTTGATGACTTAGTCATCATTTTATTGTGAATACCTTTAGAATTTCATTATTTAATATAAGTGTTGGCTACTGGTTTGAATTAACTTTTTTTAAAAAAGATTTTATTTACTTATTTGACAGAGAGAGAGAGATCATAAGTAGGCAGGGAGGCAGGCAGAGAGAGAGAGGAGGAAGCAGGCTCTTCGCAGAGCAGAGATACCCGATGTGGGGCTCGATCCCAGGACCCTGGGATCATGACCTGAGCCAAAGGCAGAGGCTTTAACCCACCAAGCCACCCAGGCGCCCCTTGAATTAACTTTTAATTGCTTGGACAGGGCTACAGTCAAATAAGCAAAATGTTAAAGATGAAGAGTAATTACAGTCCATCTGGACAGTTACCAACATATGAACATATGAATATATGCCTTAAAAGTTGTTTTAGGGGCACCTGGGTGGCTCAGTTGGTTAAGCAACTGCCTTTGGCTCAGGTCATGATCCTGCAGTCCTGGGATCGAGTCCCACATCGGGCTCCCTGCTCAGTAGGGAGTCTGCTTCTCCCTCTGACCTCTCCCCTCTCATGCTTTCTCTCTCAAATAAATAAGTAAAATCTTAAAAAAAAAAAAGTTGTTTTAATATGTTGAGAACACAAATTTCCCCACAGATGTTATAAATTATATGTAAACTCCCTAGCTTAATCCAAAGACTTATTTGACCCATAAGGCTTATTAAATAACCAAGACCAGCCTCAAGCTCTCCTGAGCTTTCTACCCGTGAGGTGTTAAATGAGGGAATCATTAGATGGAAAATCCAGTATGTGCAGTAGCCCATTGTGGGTCAGCTGTATCCATGAATAAGTCAATAATAATAAATGGCGGGTAACGATTGACATATATGTGTGTGTGTGTCACACTGACATATCAATTATATATGTATCAACATGACATGTAATTGATATATCAAATATATATGTAACCTATATATTTATACATAATTTCATTTATCACCAAAATCTTAATAGTAGATCCTACCATTATCCCCACACCTAAGGAAATTGAGGCTCAGAGACTTTAGAACTGTATGATATCAGTTTACTTGGATTTTCAATGACTCATCAGAAAAGAAAAAAAAAGTATTCTGAAAAAGCACTAAACTGCATTTAGTGCTGTAGTAGTCTTCTAGTCCCGTGCTTCCTCACCCAGGGAATCTTGTTAAAATGCAGATTCTGATTCACTGGACCTGGGATGAGAGCCATTTCTGCATTTATAACAGGCATCCCAGGTGACGCCAATGTTGAAGGTAAGGAGACCATAGACTTTGAGTGGCAAGGCTGTAGCCCATTTCGTTAAATTCTCTCTGATCAGCCTGATACCTTCTTTAAAAGTGTGTATTATGAAAAACAAAAGTAAGCATAAAACACCCTTCTTTCACTTATGAGAACTAGATTTCATCACATAACAAAATCCTTCAGTTATGGCAGATGAAGAGTCTTGCAGGTTACCTTTTAATTTGTTCCTTCTGGTCAATCCAGGAAAGTTGTATATGTAGATGATAGGTTTGAGCCTCCGGTCAGAAAAAGCCACAACTTCATAAGGAACGTTAGTTGCCACGACACCCACAACTCCATTCATACACTGGAGTACAGTCTTTTTCTTGGTTTCGATATTAATAAATATTACAAAATTCCCACAAGGGTAGCAGATGGTGCTCTTGTTGATAAAATGAACATTCTGCTTAGGGAATCCTTGGACCCATCTTTGGGGGGAAAAAAAAAATGTCACCATCAACAGAATACATTTCCAATACTTTTTTTTTTAAACAAAGTAAACAAAAAGGCATCAAAATATTTGAAACACATCTATTTTATTCCCACACACTTTCTGCCCAAAACCATCTCTAAGATAAAAGAACACATAGGCTGGCTGTGAGACCGCTTTGAATCCAGGCACTACAGAAATTTAGTCTTAGGTCTTCACAGCCTTCTTCAGAGAAATTTTTCAGTGAAGCAAATCCTCTGATCAAACCTGAGAAAGTCTCAGAAGGATTTCTGGGGTGTTGAAAAAGTAAAAATCACAGAAAGAGAGAAAAGATCTTGATATAATAGAAAACAGCGTGTCAGGCTAAGGTTGTTCTATTATCATTAGTTTTGATTTTAAACATAACTTTAAAAAAAAAACAAACTTTGAATGGGGCAGCTTGCTTTGTAGTTGTGAGCCAAGCAGATAAACTGTTTCTTTACCAAGATGAAGGGTGTATGCTGTTATTTCAGATCTAAAAATACACATAAATGTAGAAAATAAACGGAATCAAGTCAACATGAGTCAAAAGGTTAGGACACAAAAGGAACACATTCTTAAGGAAGGGATGTGTGGTGGGTGTATGCTTCGGAAGGAAAGTCTGAGTCTACTCTCATTTAAATATTAAATTTATGCTTCAAGATGGTGGGGAAGGAAAGAAAGGGACACTCGTCTGGTGAGGGACTTCCAGAGCCTAGAGAGCAGAGCCAGGGCCGGTGGAAGTTACTGTATGAAACTCAGCTGTGGAAGCCAAGAAATACCCGCTTTGTGCAGCTCTTTAGGCTTTTCAAAGACCATAAAAGTGCAAATAACTCCGAAGTTAGTGGATAGTAGTTCGAAGGAAGGGACTGACTAAGGGATTGACGGCCCTAACTTGGAGGGGGGTGGGATCACCAAAGATGACAAGGACAGGATGGCAGGATGGGTGTGTGTGTGTGTGCGGGGGGTGGGGGGGTAGATTATGTATGAAAGGTCAGGGGGAAATGGAGTACTGAGCCAGAGAGGAGGCAGAAATGAGGAGAGGAGGAGAACTGTGGGTAAGTGAGAGAGGGGGAAGGTCGCAGAAAGGGGGGGGGGGGGGGGAGGTGTGTGCAAACAGCCGGATGTGGTCCTTGAATGGGGGACGGGGGATGCAGACAAGAGGTCACCCAGGCAGTCTGCAGGAGAGAACTGGGGGGTAAAGAGGAGGTCCAAGCTTCGGGGAGAGCAGGTCTAAAGAATAGGAGGAAGAAGAGGGTAGTGAGGGGATTAGGTCAGATGCAAGTTTCCGGGAGACCCAAGTCAGTTGCCCGGCGGCGGACGGCCGCACCTCACAGACAGGGACGCGCCGGCGGTGATGTAGACGTTCTCTTCTCGCTCCCGGCCTTGCGACATGAGCCGTGTTTCTCTCAGCCAGGTCCTGGGTAGGAAATGTCCGAGACCCGCTCGGGTCTGAAGCCGTTACTTAGAGGTCTAGTCGCGGCGCCCGCAAAGCGTCCGCCGTTACCATCGTATCCAGGAGACTGTAACCCCTGCTCCCATTGGCTCTGTCCCGTAGCCCGGCTTCGTCTTAAGCCTAGCGGATTGGTGGAAGCGCTGCCGCGCCTCAGCCAATGGAAGAGCGGTGAGAGAAGCGAGGGGCGTGCCCCTCGGAGTGGGTGCCCGAGAAGCCTAGTCTCGGCCAAATAATTACAATATTAATATCAATAGCAGAGATTAATATTGTGTGCTGACCACGCCAGACGTTGTTCCAAGCGACATGCAGGCATTATTTCATTTAAGCTTGAAATCACCCATCAGTCCCATCTGCAGATAAGCAAAGTGGAGTGGAGAGAGGCAACGTGCCCCAGGCTGCGAAGTTGAGGGGACTTAAAGCCGGGTGTTATCTAAATCTAGAGCTCCAATCCTTTAATTAATTACTCTATTACTCTCCAATCGGTCCTCCGCTACTTCAAGGAGACAGACAGCTTCAGGAAGCAACCTGACCGAAAGGCCAACATCTAGTCCTTGTTTCTTCCCTTCCCTCATGTACCCTCTCTTCTCTCCCTCCCTTTTCTCTTCTTCCCCCTTCCATTCCTCTCCTCTTTCCTGCCCTCCCCTTCTCTTCTTGGTCTCTCTTTCCTGTCTTGCCACTTTTTCTCCTTCTTTTCATTCACAAATATTTACTGAATATCTCCCATGTATTGAACTAGTCACTTGAGACAACATAATGAGCCAAACAGATAAAATCTCTTCCTTCTTGGAACTTAGAGACCGTTGGGAATCCAGGAAGGGGAGGATTGACGTCCACCTCACTACACCAATACAGAATTATAGACTGAACTAGAAAGAAGAGGGGTATGATACTGTGAGTAAATGTTTATGCTGAGGTCCCTGACGTGGGAAACAAAGGCAATAGAAAAATTAAATTTCTTTATTACTTACAGCCCATTGACAAGTCCTGGAAACAGGCAGAGTGACATTCTTCTAGAAACTCAGCTGCCTCAATGTCAATACTTTGCTAAGGGCAAAATGCAACCTTAGCCTGACCTGGGGATCCTGTAAGTCTACTTTAACATATGAAAATTCCTTTGGAAACTTCTTATATCTCTACCCTCCAAGATATGTGTTGGCAATCATCTCCCAAACATATGACTCAGTGATATACACTTGAAAGGTCTCATGACTAAGGTTTTATTGGACAATAATAAATGACCTTTTCCTAACAGTAGCTAGCCCCCTCAAGGTCTTGGACACCTTGCTTCCAAATTCCTTAGAGACTTTTGCTATCCCTAACTCCCTCCCCACTTGAAAATATATAACTGGCCACTGCTCATGACCACAGTGAAGCTCTTTTTGCCCACAGGTCCAATTGCTGTGCTTTAATAAAACCACTTTTTGCACCAAAGATGTCTCAAAAAATTTTTCTTGGCCATCAGCTCTGAATCCCAGTATCTTTCCTATATCAGTCTTCACCTAATTGGATGGGCAGTCAGAGGTGATTTCTGTGTGCATGTGTCATTTTCACTGAGAGCAGAAAGATGAAGAGCGATTGCTGGGGTTGGCAAGGGTCAGGGGACTGGGATGTGCCGAGGAGAGTTTTCGTAAAGGTGTTAAGCCAGGACAACAGACTGGATGGACCGGGAAGGGTAGTGTGACTGGAACAGAGGGAGATGAAAAGAAAATACTGAAGAGCCGGCTAGAGAAGGAGCCACAGGTCAGATAAAGGCCAAGTTCCAGTTTTTCTCCTAAGAGCCAATGCAAACACACTAAATAACTAAGCAGGAAAATGACATGGTCAAATTTATGTGTATAAAAGATTCTGGCTGGAGGAAGATTACCAACTAGCTAGGAGAGTAGGGAAAATAGAAATAGGAAGATCTGTTAGGAGCTCATTTCATGGTCCTAACAAGGGAAGCAAAGCAGGGTTTTTAAGCTTACTGCTATTGGCATTTGGATCTGGATTGGAGGGCTGGTGTCCCTGCCAGTAGCACCTCCACAGCTGGGACAATCAAAAATGTCCATGGATATCGTGAAACATCCACTAGGGGCAAAATCACTGTTAGTTGAAAACCACTGAACAGGTAATGTCTTAAAAATTATTTTAAGAGGTGAAAATCTATAGGATATGGTGGTCAGTTGATAAAGAGGGGTAAAAGAGATGGAAGAATCAAGGATGGTTTTGGATTTCTGATGATCACAGTCAGAGATAGTGATGCCCTTCACTGAAACAGGGCAAAGAAGGCATGGAGACAAGTGTTTCTGCTCTAAAGATTTCTTTTTTTCTGAAACGTAAGTGCCCAACACACTCAGTGCTTAGTGTTAAAGAACTACACAGAACTGTCTGACCAAATCCCACATTTCTGAGTCACACAGAGAAGTGGCATGAAGGAAAGGCAAGATTTCCCCTCTGGTACTTCTTAAACTCTGGGCAGTTTCTGTTGCTACTCCCTTACCAGTTGGCTCATTTGTGTTTTGACCAAGCCCTCCCTCCAAACATACCTTTAGCCACAACCTGAGCATCTTAAAGCCAACAGCAGAGAAGAATGTGATGGGGCAAATCCTGCCACTGCTCCCAGGGTTAGTGGTAGGTAGAGGACATAAGGTAGGCAGGAAATATGTATTCTGGAAAAGAGATACTGACCAGGCTGGCATCAGCCATGATCCTGGAACCTGAACTTGCCCAGTGCTAGAGCAAAAGAGGAACTGAATAGAACCAAACTGAAAAAAAGCCATCTTATGGCTATCTTACTTCATGAAACCCTGACTGGGGTTTAGATGAAAAGGTCTCCAGCTGGGTTTCTAGGATATCTGTTGTTGCTATTCAGGAGGAGATGGCCTGGACTCTGCACCATGCCAGTTACAGGAAGATGAGTGGCCTTTCTTAGTCTGGAGGGAGGAAATATAGATTATATCAGAGGATGGGCTGATAGGGATGATTTAGGAAAATCTGTTCCAGGGCTCACTCTGAAACATTTACATATAGTAGAAACAAAAGCTTTCTCTAAAAACAAGTTCTTTCTCTAATCAGTGACCTAAAAGGGCAGCCCTAAGCATCCTAATGTGATAACCAGTATGCTCCACCATTTTTGGGAAGTACCCAACCCCCCTAAACAAAATCCACCCCTCTCAACTCTCTTTCTCCTTGCAAATCCCTACTCTACCACCATTAGACCAGTCCTGCACAGAATAAACCTAATACTCAGCATTAGGTTTTGTACCTTTGTAGGAGAACTCATCTCAATACCCCCCAAAAGCAGTGATCAATTCAAGTTCATTGAATCCTAAAGACAAAACCTGTCCACAACCAGCCACAGAACAACAACAACAACAACAACAACAGGTTTATGTTCCACTGAGAGATTACTTCACTCCTGGCTTCTCTTGGGTCCCAGCCAAACTCCATGATATCTGAAAGATGAATTTTCACTAAGTTCATCACCCATTAACTAGATTTTCTAGGACCATTTAAACATGGAAAAAGATGATGCAGCATACTAGAAAGCATTTCATTTAGATGAATAAATGATCTCTAGTCTATTAGCTAATTATTTGCTTTTCATGAAAGGTAGCAATGTTTATAAGAAAAGTTGAAAAACCAAAAAGTGAGCATTGTTTCTCTGAATAAAAAAAAAAAAATGTAAAAATGATGTTTTTAAGGTAAAGGAGTAACCATTTACAATAGGCAATACCTTCTTATTCTTTGGTAGTTGGCCCATTTTATAGTAGTGGATGATGATAAACCACAATTTATTGAGCTCCTACTATCTGTTGAGAACTTAACAAAATCTGGATTCTCCCAACAGCCATGGTACAGAGAAAACCGGGACTCAGAGAATTGAAGTATGTAACTCAAGTTGGCATGTTTAGTTCTGCACAGATTTCTTCTTGGCTCAGCTGTAATAACAGCTGTTATGCTGCTACTCTGTGTCTGCTACACATTTATGAAACATGTATTTTATCCCTACTGCATAAAAAGGGAAACTGAATCCCAGACAGGTTGGGAATTTTGCACAGGGTATCACAATCTCAGATGGATTTGAATCCAGGTTTTTTGTTTGTTTGTTTTTTTGTTTGTTTTTTAAAGATTTCACTTATTTATTTGACAGACAGAGATCACAAGCAGGGGGAGAGGAAGGCAGAGAGAGAGGAGGAAGCAGGCTCCCCAAGGAGCAGAGAGCCCGATGCGGTGTGGCCCGATCCCAGGACCCTGGGATCATGACCTGAGCTGAAGGCAGAAGCTTTAAACCACCGAGCCACCCAGGCGCCCCTGAACCCAGGTATTTTTAATTGTCTTAAAGAGCCCTTCTTTCCAGAGATGTGCAGACTTGAAATTTTAAAATCAAATCAAATGGGCATTTAATTTGAGTAGAACATTTTTTTCTGGAAGAAGAGGAAAAATAGAGACTCCTTCATAATTCTGAGAAGTTTTAGAATAAAGAATATGGAACTAAAGTCACATTTTTATGGAAATTCTGGGACAATTAGTAAAAATGAGTGAATGTTATTATTTTGTGCATTTAATCTAACATTTTTGGGCTTTACTTTTACATTTCAAATATTTTTATAGTGTATGTAGAACATACTTTATGATTACATTTCTTGTTCCAAGTTGTCTCCTTGATCTTGATACTAAAATAACTACTCTTGGTTGAAACATGGAAAGGATTTGTAACCAACACCCAAATATATAATACACTGGGTATACAGTATTTAAAGAAGATGTCTGAGAAATGCAGTTAGTTTAAAAAGGAGAGGGGAGATTATCACATCAGACCTTCCCCGAATTCCAAGGCAAGGCTATAAATAGCTACCTGTAAGCCATTTATCCAAATATTTTAAGTGATTTATTAAACTTTAGAAGTCAAAATACAAATTCCAAGAATGAAAATTAAAAGATCAAAACAGAATTCTTA